AGTTTTAAAATGACTTTCCGTTTTTTCAATCTTTGTCGCGTTTATTCCAATTTGCTGAAAATGGCAAGTGTTGGCGAATTTCCCTGGAGTTGATTTCTTGAGGACCGCACTCATGTTTAGAGAGAGAAAAAGGGATTCGTCGTCGCAACTTTACGTCCTCCATAAAACTTGCAATTAGGCATTTTCACTTCGTAGTCGTGCAAAGACGGTAAAGAAATGTACAAAAAAGCGTGATGCATGTGCAAAGTTGTTGTTTTCTAATATAAGCCTAGTGCTTTTTTGACGTCCTCGTTGCCCGTCGCCGTCGTCGTTGCTAAAGCTCCCTATACCGTCCGGAAAAACACGACTAACTTTTCAAATGTTCCGTTTTTACGTTGCCCCCAGAGATTTTTTTTTTGCTGAAACGACCCAAAAAGTCGTGTGCCATTTGCTTGCCAACTAGATTTTCTGGAACCTTTTGAAAATGGTAAACAACCAGAACCCTGAATGTTTCCACTTACACCTACCCACCTGAAAAAAGGTGAATGCATTTTTTTCATAATAGGCCACTTGCACGATGACTTCTTTTTACTACTAAGAGCAGAATTCATTTCGTTTTCTCTTTCATTGTTAAATTTGATAATCCCAGTGAGTTTTGAATTAGAAAAAGCCCTAATTTGCACAAGAAAGCAAAACTCTGAAGGATTCTGATTATAGACGGTAAATTGACGCCATCGTGCAAATGGCCTATTGTTCAATGTACTACACAAGATGACTCCGCTTTCTTGAAGTCTATTCGCGCAACTACGCATCGCGAACGATTTTTTGTGTTTTTTTTCAGTAGTTTACAAAATAAAAATGTTAATTTATTGAGTTAGAATACTTGGACATTCTTATCTTGAAAATTTCGAATTCCTATATAAATGAAACTAGTTTTAGAATCTGCAAAAGCGGGGACAAAAGTGAGAACAATGGTAAAGAGTGACACACCTATGCACTTTACTCGCAAGATAATTGGGGGATTCCTGGTCGATGTTTTGCAAGATTATGTAATTAATATTCGGTTGTTAGGCCTCAACGGCTTGTAGTTATTCCTTGTTTATTCAAAACAGAGTAGAAATCGTTTTGAAAAAAAGAATCGAAAGCCATGCAGGTACTCTTCAGAGCTTCACATGAGTTCCGGGTGAGAAAGCTTGGCTAGCGTCGTATTGCGGCTTACTAGAACTGATGCCAACAATAGTGACACAATGTAGAGTGAGAAAAAGCGATAAATTTCGTGCCCTCCTTTTCTTCGGAGGTACTATTTATAAGAACCGAACACAGGGATGTCTATGCCACCATACAGTCAAGTACATCACCTTGTAGAACTCATAGTACTATCGTTTGAGATTCCACCGTTATTTTAGTGCATGGTGATCCGACTGATATGTCAAAGATGTCAAGTCCTAGCTGCTCCCTGATCCTGTCAATAATACGCACACTAATCCAAAGAAAAAAAGAACTAAGTGGCTCAAGAAATGAAAAAAAAAAGTTATTAAATTCATGGGAGCATGTGATGTAGCGTACGGCGGTTTTTCCGCGCCTTTCATGCAATAGATGACAAATGTAGGTGAGTACATTAGCCAGTCAGATTTCAGAATTCGTGATAGTTTGCTAGTTGGTTTAGTTTAGGAATAAGATTCGTTTTTCTCTTTGGAATCACTACCCAACCGGTACGGCCTGGACGAGCGGAATTAAGAAGACTTTTACATTTTCATTCCTGGAAAACTGCAAAAAGTTGGGAGACAGCCATCGTAGACCATAGAAGTCAAGGTGGTTTTAATTTTAGTGGAGTGCGTAGGTACAGGGCGTCAGCAAGATAGAGAGAGTGCATATTAAAACTAGCGTAACTGAATTGACTGCTTTCTATATTATTCCCTTTACATTCAAAAGAGTTCCGATACACTTTCTGTCACGTCGTTAGTTTTAAGTTTCTGAGATGAACAGCTTGATTAAACTCGACTTGAAATCAACAACATGACAAACTCGGTAAACATAATCCAGCAAATTACTTGGAACCTCGGCACTGAGTGGAAACTGATTCGAATTTGTGGTCTACAGTTTATTGCCATTATTAAAGTAAGAAGCCGTGAACTAAAATATTATCTAACCTAATGCCCTAGTCGCACTAAAGTTTAAACTAAAGCTAACATCCTGAAAATCCATTTCGCATGCGATGTTCAAAACATCACTTGGCATGCATTTTATTATTCACTATCACATGTTACAATTTAAACTTAGATTATACATTTTTATGAGATCGTTACCACACCACCGGCTGGGTAGCTTGCAAAAAAGCATTCAAAACACTTTTAAAAATACCCTATCAAAGTTTTCTTAAATTCTACGATGGAATTGGATCATTCATGAATGTTCGTCCTGAAATTCAAATGCTAGCAAAATTTGATAGAGAAGTGAGTTTTTTGGACATTCGTGTTCATTTCTGATCGATCATTCGATTGCTAATGATGTAACGAAGACGTAATTAGTGCAAGGCAAATATACGCTTTGACAGCATCCTTCCCTTAATCAGGTCACGCTTTTTCGTAATTACAGCAAAAATCTGTCAACTAGGCGGATTTCGAAACCAACATCGGCTGTGCTGTCGATTTTGCACACTGAACGATTGAAAAGATTGTGGGCCGGTTTCTTCTCTGGCGCGCATCACCTGTTTCAAGTCTTGCAGTTGCGTCTCTGTGCTGTCGAGGAGAACTGTCAAAGGTTTGGGTCTTTGAATACACCAATGTACGTTTTTCACTCATCGTCCATTTTACATGCAGATCAAAAGAGTCTTGTGAAGTATTTGTTTCAAGATCGGGCTCTGCTTGAATAGTAAAAATAAATAGTTTTTTCCTTAAATTACGGGTTTGATTAACACTCCCTAGCGAGGAGAAAAATGTCACATTTGTGATATACGAATTTTCTTTTATTTCAAAATATTTCTCACTAAGTTTTGAAAAGCGCCGCTTTTCAAAAATTAGTGAGAAATATTCTTTCTTTTTTGAGCCTTTATTTAAACGAAGACAGTTGCATGGCATCAAAACTATTGGCTTTAAACAAGCGAATCCAGCAGCGTTGTAACCGTATGAAACCGGGTGGTTTGTTGGACATGATCTTTAATTTCTAATTGAAATTAAGCCTCGATTTCAATACGAATATGAATCCGGTAACCGAAAAGTAATCAAGCCGAACTTTTAATTTGTCAGCTTTTCTTTGTTTCATATTTTTTTAGTAGCCAATAGATGAAATTATGAAGTAGAAGTCGGAAAGTCTGTTTTCAATGGCGGTTTCCTTTCACTTAATTTATACCGTTCCAGGAATCAATTTGATTCTTGAGTTGCTTTGAAGGTGAATAAAAATCTTACAGGGTATTTACTAAAACTGTCCTTAAATCTTAAATCCTTCTCAGAATTTTCTTCATAATTTTGTTTTGTAGACATGATAAAAAGAATATACAAATCGGTACTTTTCTTTCGGAACATATGCAATTTATTACCTGAAACAGGCAACGTATGGTCTCACAGCGCAGACGTCATCTTACCTGGGATCGTGGAACAAAAAAATCTGCCCAATTTAACCCAGAATTTACTGCGAGAATTTACAGGCTAATGTTTTCATTGAAAACTTCAATGTTCTCCTTTTTGGCTCGACCAGAAAACTGTTTTGATTTAATTCTTAGCTAAACGTACGTTGTTGCCGAGTCTGCTAAATAAAGCTCAAAGCCTTTTAATACTTGACTTATTTCAAATACATTTAATTGTAGGCGTCTATGAATAACCGTCTGTGTTGTATTTTCAGTTCATAAAGCCGTCATGACATTTAAAATTTCCTTTAGGAAAATGAAATGGAAAAAAAATTGTACTTGTTTGATTTATAAGGGTAAGAAACCCATTTCTAAAATGTGTTTTTTGGTCTATAATGAATTAGTTTTGTGTGTGTTTTTAATCAAGACTTCTCGAACTTCCCAGAAGTCATCAATAGAATGAATGACATCAGGTTTTACCTTAATTATGCAGTAGGGCTAGCTTGCTATATTCTAAATAGTGTTATCTGTGATTGTCAGAACCTTGCTTTGTGCAAAATAGAGGTTTAAACAAATTTAAACAAAATAAATCATTAATGACGCTTTTATTTGACTGCAGAGAAATTTGCATTCATAGATAACCGAGACGACTTTTAGGACTCCGTCGGGGCTGACAATCTATTTCATCCTTTAACCAATAAGATCACGGCTAACAAGATTCATCAAGGGCTTCCCGTTAGGCCTCGTGTTATTAGAAAAAGAAAAATTAAAAGCGAACAAATCGCTGCTAACATATTCAGTTTCTTGTATGTTCTATCGACACATTTCTCTTTGCTTTTTGCGCAGGCTGCCGTCTGTAATTGTTTAAACTAGTCTTATTGTTTGACTAGCGCCCAAGTTCCGGCAGTAAGCTAGCTACCAGCTAACATATTGAATGTGTGTTGACACACACTGCATCTGGTAGAGTCAACCAGAGACGTCTACATTCATACTTAATCGTAATATTTGTAGCGAACAAGAGCCGAGGGAAAAAAGAAAAAAGAAAACAGGTTTTAAGTTTTGCGAGAATGAGTCGGCAGGTAGGATATTTTGGTAGTTAAAGCCATGCCGCCGGTAAAAGACGCAACGATGTCGAAGATGTTTCAAACTAGTAATCCAAGAATATCTCGCGCATGCACTAACGTAGGACCTTATGAGGACGCTTAAATAGTGAATATCCCATGCCGATTTGTGGTTCAATTTCAGGCCAGCTTTGTTTAATTTGCCTTCCGGCTAATTATTAGTATGCAACTTATCTGGGTCGTACTGCTGGGAACCTCAAAATATTAATGATTCCATCCTTCATGTCCATAAAACTCGCATAACTGAGTGGGCCGATAGGAAGGTTATTATTACTGTTTTCCGGGTAATTTCACAGGTAATTTTTCGTTTTTTCAGTGAGTGCAAAATGAAAAGAAGAAGCAGTAGACATCTTTGTTAAGAAGAGTTCGACTTAACCCGACTATCAGCATTGAAAGTTCCCTCCTACAAACAGACTTGCATTGGTAAGTTTAGTTCTTGTAGATCATTCATTAGCTTAAGCGCGCTCAGTTTTTTTTGTCAAGAAATAGTCAATTTTAGTAGCGTGTGTGGTTTCCAGTTTTGTTGTTACCCTGGTTTTCCCGAAAGTGACGCAGATGCACTCACATCTTTAAGCGATCAGACATTTTGTCTACTCGATAGCCTAGTAGTGTCTATAATATAAAAACATAATCAATTGAAAGCTTTATCTAACTCAAAATTAAGACTGCCTTTTTGTGTTGCTATCGCATAAATAAAGTTACGCAACTAATAGACTCAAAAGCACTTTACCTTCATAAAATATAAAATCTCCGAACTAAGTAAAATGTTGCGAAATATAATCTAGTAACTACATATCCAAGGTGCGCAAGCCGTAACACTCGCATGCAGATTGGGTTCCGAGTGAGTCATTGAGCAAACAGTTGTATTTCGGTTCCTTTGGCAGTAACTTTACAAGTCACCGATTATTTTATATCTATGATGAAAAATTTTGCTGAAGGCTATGTTGTTAAACATACGGATTTCAAATAGAAGGCCATTACGAAGTATACCTCCCTCGGGTTGGTCTGTTTGTTTAGGAACATAACGAGAAATGAATACAGAATGAGCACTAACTAGACCTTTTTCACTTCTCGTTTTAAGATAAGACCTTCTGTAGGGCGACTTGGCGATAGTATTGTTACACACCATTTGCATTGTATTTATCTTTCTTGTTAAGTTAATTCTGCAACGAAACAGACCCACTTTATGGAAGGAAAAAAGTTAAAAGATACACATAATTGAACGGATCTTTCTAATTTCCCTCGGTGTAAGTTGTTTGCTATTCCAAGTCTGCGTACGAAATTAGCATAAGCTTGATGTAGTGAAGCAGCGAATAGGTTATAACGCGGACTGTAATGTGTTCTTGTTCAAAAAGAACTGAGAATGTACTCGCTAAAAATTGCTTTAACAATAAACTTATTGTCATCTCTTGTATATAATGATATAAAACAACCTTATCTACACTGGCTGGTTTTTTTGTTTAAAGAGAAGGAGCCTACAAGCATTATTTAATTTTGCCTTGTTTGATTTAGAGGAAATGAGGTTCCAAACAATCTTATTTTTAAATGAATTTTGGTACAGAAGGGCTTTGAATACTCTAGAGGTGGATTCAATTTGATTCTTTCTTAACAGTTAACTGAACGTTTCCACGCCGGTGATTTATAAATATCACAAAAAATAAGTATCATAGCACATTTAGACTTCCCTACAATTTGCAGATTGTTTTTATCTCTGCAACAATTGACATCGTTCTTATCATAAAATAACTATTTTATTTCGCCGATGATGTTTTTTTAATCTAACGGTGTGCGAGACCGAAGAGAGGCTATAATTCTACCGGTGTGGAACCTCGATTTAACGAAAGGTCAAGGGACTGCGAAAATCTATTCGCTATAACGAGGTTTCGTTATATCGAGGTTCTTTTCGATATATTTTACTATTACTGGGGCGAAGAGTATCGTTCGTTATAGAGAGGAGTTCGTTATAGAGGAAAACTTAGTCCTATCGTGGAAACTAAGGATTCATCAGCAAACCCACGCTTGTATAAACTAATGTTTGTATACGTAACCTTGTAGATGTAAATAGGAGATCTCTCTTTTGAAAGCTGGTCAACAGGCTGTCATTAAAGGCTCAAACCGAGTCCGATTTGTTCTTTTAAAGACTGTTTTTGAAGAAACTGTCCGTGAAGGTACATTGATCTGCAGGCGGATTTTTTTTCGTTTAACTTAAAGCCCTGGGCTCTATGATATCACCAGGATATTACAGTTTTCGTGGGTAAATTCTGCGCTGAAGTCCTTACTTAGCGCTTTTTAACCCATACAAAATATGTGAAGGTGGTGATTTCAAACAATTTCAGCATGAAGCAGTAACCAAAAAAGTCGAGACTGTTGTGTCACTCGCAATCTCGAAATTTTTAATTTCCACGCTTGCCCGAACTTCGGAAGCTAAAATTTTGCATCCTAACAGAAGACTGCAAAATGCTCTACCTATAAACGGCTCGACTTGCTCCAAACGGCGATTTTAGCAAAATTCTTAGGAGCGAATGGGTTAAAGTGAATTTCCCAAGCCTCGTGGGTTTCCTAGTAAGCATTATAGATATTAATACCTTATAAAAAATGGCTTTTGAAGTCAAAACACCAAGTTTGCCTTTATTATTGATGAAACATTTTTCACTAAAATGTCGTTGCTTTATCCACGCACGGTAGTACAAGTGAAGCAACCCAGAATTCGAAGAGATGCGTGTAGCCATTGACGCTGAGGTACCCAGAAACACGTGCGAACAAATCGATATCCTAGTGGTGCGTGATGCGTTACACGCTAAGTGCATTTCGTTAAGTAACAAGTGGAGGGATGAGTGTTCTACTTAGATGACAATCACCTGGCTATTAAGAATCATGCAGGTTCTTATGGCCCATAAATGCCGACAGAGTATGGCAAGTTTCACTATGACAATTTGTTTCGGCTGTCTCTTTGACAACAGAACTGGATTATAAGTAGGTGAAGCATGATCGTCCGGAGTGATCGTAGTCCTTGAATAGAACTGGTGTTGACAGTGACTGACGTTTCGACAATCTGTGCGGTACTCATCTTCAGTGTCAAAGTGAGTTGCATCACGTTAGTTGATGGTATTAAACTCTGTATAATTAGCGGTGAAAAAAACTAGTTTTTGCCAGGTAGATTTAGCCTTAGGAGACACAAATTGAACTGTAATTAGTATTCGTTTAAGAATTTCTTGTTAGTTTTTCTATCTGATGTTTGAGTCTGTGATACTTGATATCGTGATAAACTGTTAGCCTGTGCTGTGCTTAGTCAAAACTTTGACGTCATTAGACGAAAAATGAGAGTTGATATAAAACATGTGATCGCACACCAACAAGGAACGTTGGTATTTGAGGAGAAAAATTGAAGCACCCTTTGACAGCATGGAGAAACATTAACAAACCCAACCCCTCAGTCATTTGGCGTAGGGCTGCTTCCCATTATGCCAATTTTTTTCCGAAATTTCGATCGAGAAATGAATGGAACGCTTCGGTTCGCTTGGAAATTTTCCGGTGAAAGTGGTCCTCCTCCAAAGTTGGTCCTCTTTTACCGGTCGGTCAGTATGATATTCTGCCACTTGAATCAAATTGTCGGCTTTAGTTAAGAGATACGTATGTTGTGGTTAGTTACGGCCACCTCGTTCCTACGGCCACTTTTTTTGGCTGCCTGGCAAAAACCGCCATACATTTTCTTGTAAAAACACCCTCGTTAATACTGTCACCACGTTAATACGGCCAATTTTTTTTTTTGGTCTATTGGTTGCCGTATTAACGGGGTTACATTGTAAAGATATCCGTAGTTCTGGTTTCAGTTTCATCGCAACCATTAGCATATATGTTACAGGTCAAAATAGCTAGTTCCAGGCGTTCAGATAGTGGGGAGCGGTTCGACTTTTCATCGCTTTCTTTACTTCGCACCGCTCTCCACTATCGAACGCTTGGAACAGGCTAAGGTCAAAACTAAATTCAGGTTAACTTTTTTTAGCCCAGCTAGGTTGATTCTCTATTTTCCTAGCCGTAATTATTCATGAGTTAGGGCTAGGAAACAAAGGAAATTGAGAATCAACCTAGGTTAATTTTGACCTGTGTCATATACATTACCCCGCTGTCCAAAATCAAACCAAGACAAAAATTTAACCAAGCATAAATCTGATCCAAGGAAATAACTATGACAACCTGTTTTAGAGCCCAGTGGGTATCAAATGGTTTCTGGAAAGAACTGTTTTAGCCTATGCGAAATAATCTGTAGTTACAACACTAATTTTTTGTAATGATTAAATAGACCCTTACAAGGTTCTTCAATCTACTATTGACACTGAGATTAGTTTGCATAAATCCATTGACACGCCGCTGAAAAGAACGCCTTAAAATCATTAAATTAAGGTTATTCATCCGCATGCGCACAGTGACTGTATGATGAACTATATGGTAGGCGCCAAATTTATGCCTCCAACATACAAAGACTTTGGAGAGCTTTATCTTCGCTCTCTTTTGAGATACAGTCAAACCACGCTTTACGGACACCTGCTAAATACGGACACCTCATTATTACGGACAGTCTGCTTTGTCCATGAAGAAAGAGACTGCACTTTGATTTTCTCTACTTGAAATTCAACCCGCTTAAGGTGACAGAACACAGTTTTACGGCGGTCAGCGGTAACTCGCGTGACGGCGCGTGTTTTAAATTAGACAAACAAACATGGCGGCGAAAAAAGCAATGGGACAGAGAAGACAACTTCTCAAAATCTACTTATTAAAATTTTGTGATATTTGGCAGAATTTTTACTTTTATCGTATAGTAAGTAATGAGAACTTTAAAATGGAAGTTGAACAGACGATTTTTGTGAGACATTTGATAATTACAGTACAATTATATTATTGATTATCTAAAAATCCGTCTGTTAAAATTTGGTCAAATACGTTTCAAATGGTAATGATTAATTATATTGAGCTGTGTGCAAGTTTATAGGAAAATCTAATGAGCAAATTTTATGTAAACTGAGCAAAAGTGAAATGTTAATGTTGTATTTAATCGTTCATGTTTCCATGCAAACTACGAAAATGACAAATTTTACCTTTCAATCAAAATCTTTCATCAGTATATCTTTCCCTTGAAAAGTTTCAGCCTGTGAGCTGCAACCCTTCTCTTGCCATGATTTGCCAAATGACATATACTCACAAACTGTCAAAACTGTGTTCAGCCACGTTAATACGACACCCCGTGAATAGGGACACTTTCTAAGGCCTCTTTAGTGTTGGGGTTTGACTTTATCACGTTCAGACCTAGCAAGTTTTACAGTTTTAAGGCGTTTTTTCCGGCAGTGTCGATAGATATCGAAAAAATCGTAAAATCAGGTCTATTTTACATGCTGCTCAAACCGTGTAAAAATAATTAATGCCTTTATCGCGAGTTACCAGGCTATGGAATAATCGAGAGTGAAGTAATTATCTTCGTACATTCTATTCGCTATATGGCGCTAACAATGTTCTCTTCTTCGAAAGAATATTCTTTCCGTAACTCAATAGTACAACCTGCAAAGTATGGAGTTTTTGGTCGTTGATTTACTTTTATCAGTTGCGTGAAGAAGTTAGTTAAGACCATCATTAGTGCAAGCAACTATTATCCCATTTGCTAAGTTTACTTTGTTGTGTTTGGGTAGAGACGTAACAACACGAATAGTGGACGCAAAATTTGTTCCCTGTAATCCACTTTAACTGGAAATCGCCCGATAAAACAACTAACGGTTCTTGCTCGAAAACTTATGATGTCTTATAATTAATATCAAAAACGTTTTACTGGGGATGTTTCAACAGTTTCTTTTTTATTATACGCCCAACTCATAGTCTAATTAACGACAAAAATTCAAAAGTTTGCTTTCCCTCCCTCTCATTGACAATAATCTTCGCAGTAAGTAAGATGATAGTGTCAAAAGTTCACTTTTGTTAAAAGGAAAAAGGTCACGTTCACCGCCTTTAAGGAACACCATGTAGCACCTGTTTTTAACTTAAATTGCCATAATCATCATTGTTATTTCTCGCTTAAAGGCAGCAATAATGTCACAACCTTAATCATTCCTTTGTTCTAAAAGAACTGCAGCAAAGTTATGAACACCCTTTTTGTTCTTGAATATAAAGTTATTGGTCTAACAGAAGCAAAAAAGTTAATCATTCCTTGTTGAAAAATGAATTTCTCATGAACCATCGTTTCAATTTGAAGCGACAATTTTTTTAACAACAACTTCAATCCAATGTCGCTGACAGTTAGTACTCCCCTAGTCGCAACCAATTACAGAATATATAATGTAAACAGTGGACCGTTTATTCCAAAATATTATTCTTTGCTTCCCAGTCAACTGGAATAAAACAAAAAATATATCCCTGTTTTGGAAAGATTGCTAAGATTGCTATGGTTGCCGTATTTACAGGGCTACATTGTGAAGATATCCTTAGTTCTGGTTTCAGTTTCATTTCATTTCCTTTGTCTCCTAGCCGTAATTATTCATGAGTTAGGGCTTGGAGACAAAAGAAATTGAGAATCAACCAAGGTTAATTTTGACCTGTGTCATATACATTACCCCGCTGTCCAAAATCAGACCAAGACAAAAATTAAATCAACCATTAGCATATATGTTACAGGTCAAAATAACCTGTTCCAGGCGTTCAGATAGTGGGGAGCGGTTCGACTTTTCATCACTTTCTTTACTTCGCACCGCTCTCCACTATCTAAACGCTTGAAACAAGCTAAGGTCAAAATAAAACCAGGTTAACTTTTTTTAACCTAGGTTGATTCTCTATTTCCATTGTCTCCTAACCCTAATTATTCATGAGTTAGGGCTAGGGGACGAAGGAAACTGATAATCAATCTAGGTTAATTTTGACCTGTGCCATATAGATTACCCCGCTGTCCAAAATCAAACCAAGACAAAAATTAAACAAGCATAAATCTGATCCAAGGAAATAACAATGACAACCTGTACCCAATGGGTATCAAATAGTTTCTCGAAAGAACTATTTTAGCCTTTGCGAAATAATCTGTCAGAGTAACAACACTAATTTTTTTCTGTAAGGATTAAATAGACCCTTGCAAGGTTCTTCAATCTACTTTTGACACTGAGATTAGTTTGCATAAATCCATTGACACGCCGCTGAAAAGAACGCCTTAAAATCATTAAATTAAGGTTATTCATCTGCATGCGCACAGTGACTGTATGATGAACTATATGGTAGGCGCCAAGTTTATGCCTCCAACATACAAAGACTTTGGAGAGCTTTATCTTCGCTCTCTTTTGAGATACAGTCAAACCACGCTTTACGGACACCTGCTAAATACGGACACCTCATTATTACGGACAGTCTGCTTTGTCCATGAAGAAAGAGACTGCACTTTGATTTTCTCTACTTGAAATTCAACCCGCTTAAGGTGACAGAACACAGTTTTACGGCGGTCAGCGGTAACTCGCGTGACGGCGCGTGTTTTAAATTAGACAAACAAACATGGCGGCGAAAAAAGCAATGGGACAGAGAAGACAACTTCTCAAAATCTACTTATTAAAATTTTGTGATATTTGGCCGAATTTTTACTTTTATCGTATAGTAAGTAATGAGAACTTTAAAATGGAAGTTGAACAGACGATTTTTGTGAGACATTTGATAATTACAGTACAATTATATTATTGATTATCTAAAAATCCGTCTGTTAAAATTTGGTCAAATACGTTTCAAATGGTAATGATTAATTATATTGAGCTGTGTGCAAGTTTATAGGAAAATCTAATGAGCAAATTTTATGTAAACTGAGCAAAAGTGAAATGTTAATGTTGTATTCAATCGTTCATGTTTCCATGCAAACTACGAAAATGACAAATTTTACCTTTCAGTCAAAATCTTTCATCAGTATATCTTTCCCTTGAAAAGTTTCAGCCTGTGAGCTGCAACCCTTCTCTTGCCATGATTTGCCAAATGACATATACTCAAAAACTGTCAAAACTGTGTTCAGCCACGTTAATACGACACCCCGTGAATAGGGACACTTTCTAAGGCCTCTTCAGTGTTGGGGTTTGACTTTATCACGTTCAGACCTAGCAAGTTTTACAGTTTTAAGGCGTTTTTTCCGGCAGTGTCGATAGATATCGAAAAAATCGTAAAATCAGGTCTATTTTACATGCTGCTCAAACCGTGTAAAAATAATTAATGCCTTTATCGCGAGTTACCAGGCTATGGAATAATCGAGAGTGAAGTAATTATCTTCGTACATTCTATTCGCTATATGGCGCTAACAATGTTCTCTTCTTCGAAAGAATATTCTTTCCGTAACTCAGTAGTACAACCTGCAAAGTATGGAGTTTTTGGTCGTTGATTTACTTTTATCAGTTGCGTGAAGAAGTTAGTTAAGACCATCATTAGTGCAAGCAACTATTATCCCATTTGCTAAGTTTACTTTGTTGTGTTTGGGTAGAGACGTAACAACACGAATAGTGGACGCAAAATTTGTTCCCTGTAATCCACTTTAACTGGAAATCGCCCGATAAAACAACTAACGGTTCTTGCTCGAAAACTTATGATGTCTTATAATTAATATCAAAAACGTTTTACTGGGGACGTTTCAACAGTTTCTTTTTCATTATACGCCCAACTCATAGTCTAATTAACGACAAAAATTCGAAAGTTTGCTTTCCCTCCCACTCATTGACAATAATCTTCGCAGTAAGTAAGATGATAGTGTCAAAAGTTCACTTTTGTTAAAAGGAAAAAGGTCACGTTCACCGCCTTTAAGGAACACCATGTAGCACCTGTTTTTAACTTAAATTGCCATAATCATCATTGTTATTTCTCGCTTAAAGGCAGCAATAATGTCACAACCTTAATCATTCCTTTGTTCTAAAAGAACTGCAGCAAAGTTATGAACACCCTTTTTGTTCTTGAATATAAAGTTATTGGTCTAACAGAAGCAAAAAAGTTAATCATCCCTTGTTGAAAAATGAATTTCTCATGAACCATCTTTTCAATTTGAAGCGACAATTTTTTTAACAACAACTTCAATCCAATGTCGCTGACAGTTAGTACTCCACTAGGCGCAACCAATTACAGAATATATAATGTAAACAGTGGACTGTTTATTCAAAAATATTATTCTTTGCTTCCCAGTCAACTGGAATAAAACAAAAAATATATCCCTGTTTTGGAAAGATTGCTAATGGTTAATTCAAAAGAGGAGGCTTTTGCGTAAAACGTGAAAGCTTTTATGATACACAGCTCGTTAAAATTGATGAGCAGCTTAAGCGCTCAATACTACAACCTGTCACAATTTGGCTTAGCTCCCGGCATGTTAATTGAGCGAGAGGAACACAAAAATATGTTAATTTAGGTTATATTCCCCTGGTGCAAAGTTTCAAGCATCAATTTCTTTGTTCATAGGGAAAATCTCAAGTGTTTTCGTGGTTATAGAAATTTTGTCCTGATTCAAGGCTCTGAAATTTCGAACTTAGGTATGTACGTTATTGTTTAAAATTCTTACGTATATACTATTAAGAGTATGATACTGACATAACCACACGTTGGCTAATTCTAGCTTGCTCTCTCTGCGGCAATCTTCTGAATGTTTCGCAACCCAGTGGGTCAATAATACCGAAGCATGCTGTTAAACAGTTCACAGTTAAACGAAAAATTTTGGACTCTCATAGTATTCTTAACTTTAAGTTTAAGGTAACCGTCAACAACCATCAACATCAAGCGAAGAAAATTTTGTGAATGCCATGCACATTAATTGACCAGAAAGTGGGCCGCCCTTGGGCTTTTGGACACAAAACAGTCATTCATCCCTAAATCGGTCGAAAAACATTACACTAAAAGAAAAAACCGTCTTCAAACTAATAAAACACCTATACAAACGCATCAAAGATTCCTTCACACACCTATAAGAATAAATTATACCGAAGGATTTAGTTATCAGTGTTTTTAGGGTTAAAAAGCAAGTCGATTTTTATTTCGATTTTCGCCGCCTCTAGCCAAAAACTCTGACCAACCCAACAATGTTTTCTAGACCGTTATTTTAGAGCATTCTCGAAATGCGGAAATGTTCGCGCGCGCCTGTATTTCCGTTTCATTTCAGTACAACCAACCCCAGTCTCGGAAAGGACTGAGTAACTTCTCATCCATCTTAGTTCATTAAAAGTATTAAACTTCAGGCAGTCACTAATTGAGAACTTCCTCTTTATGTTCGTACTGCCTTTCTTGTTTCTTTATTTTTTTTTGGCCATTAAAAAAGCAATGACTTATTCACCAGATAAATGGCATAATTGAAGAGAACGTTCTAAAAACGGCAAGAATAAATTGAGTTCTTTGAACAGATATTTATGCCAGTTTGTCAATTCGCCAGTCTTAATGTCACTTCCTCTCTTGGTAAATGGCCCGATGATTTGAATACGCTTAAACGCCGGGCAAAAATCTTTTAGGAGCTTCAAGGAAAGTTTGTCTAGCATACTTAATGCAAGAGAGTTATCATTAAAATGGTCGGACGTTTGAATTTAAGCGACAGACGCATATAACAACCTTCTGCAGCAATTAAAACCAAATGGAAACGCAGAAAGTTCTATTAAGTAGCTCTCATTTGCATGGTCGCACTTTAGAATGTCAGCCACATATCCAAAGGAAGAGCCATTTTATTTGTACTACACGACTAAAGAATACTTCAGAAAATACTGCTCAATAACTTTTATTTCAATGTGGTTTCTCTGAACTCTTCGCGCCACAAAATCTAAAGTTTAAACCATCTTCAGTGTTAATGCAGCATAAAATAAAGTTTACAATTTGTAAGTTTGATGCGCCTAATTACAGACCCTTTTATTGGGTCAATTAATAGCCGTGAGATGAAGGACGGCGTGGGAATCCTACAATCACGAGGTCTTTGTGATTTTAGGTCTTTGTTGGTCAGTTCAGTTTTGTTAATACAGTCATACGAAAATAGTTTCAAACCTTTTGCGCGTGCCATAGTTATGACGCCCGCGCTTAGACAGGTGCCTCGGGCGTTTATTTGACCAGGGTGGATCAATGTCATCAATGTCAAAATGTCTACGTTTACGTCATTAGGTATTGTTACATCTTTTCAAAATATGAAGCTTTGCACAATAGTATTCTTGGTTTGCAATCACGTGACAAGACCGCCGTGTTTGTGGCCAATACAATGATTTTTTTCTCGAAAACGTTACATGAAAATACAGTTTAGCGGAGAGAAATGCTATTTTTCTAGACCACCCACATGAACTTAAGCAAAGGCGTTTTTGAGCGACGCGTGTTAACCCGAAGTGGACTATTTGCATGTTTGGGCAATGGTTTTGGCCAAATATATTGGAAAATCGTCTCTATAAGAGTAAGGACTCTTAGTAATACACATTTTATTAGTGTGAAAACTTATCAAAAGGAAAGATTCCTTACTTCCGGGTTGACGTTCGTCGCTGAAAAACGCCTTTTCTTAAACAGTTGTTAAATAGTTAAATAGTTGTTCGAACTGAAAGGCTATACGATATTTTTGAAAGCAGGAAGAAGATGGTCTTTGATTTCACCTTGTCTATTTCCTTCCTTATGCAGGCTTCCAATTATGAATAAACATTTATTGACCTAATTGAACTTGGCCTTAAAAAGGCTATGTCACGCCATTTGCTATCTATTAAAAAAGCGAAATATTTTTTGTGGCATCAATTGAACTTCAAAAATATTGGTCCAGTTTTGTTATCGAAGACTATATTTAGGCACCAACCCATTCGAGTTCATTGATAACTCTAGGTCGTCTAGATTCAAGTTCATTCCTGGTCGAAATTTCAATTCGACTAGGAATTAGATAGAGGAAGAAACACTTTGTGAATGTGCTACCTCCTAATCATTATTTTATTTATTTATTATTTATTCAAAATATTTTGCCTTTTCCCCCGATAAATTCTTCATAACCAGCTGGCGCTGATCATATTTGGAAGAAGCGAGCAATACAGTACAGTAAAACCCCGTGTATAAGAACCTGGGTTTTAAGAAGCCGTTAGGCTAAAATTTTCATTTTAAGCCCTCTCAACATAAGAATCTTTTATGCTCCATGTTCCTTTAGATAGCATTATTGAGTCAGTTATTGCTGTTGGTGGAGTCTTGCTTTGGGTGAGCTCTGTTTGCTGGAATACCCAATAATGACAATTCCAGTTTGGGATAAATTTGGCCACAAGAGTGGCCGTTTATTTCATTTAAGCATATCAAACTAGGAAAGTCCAGATCCACAAGAAGATTTATCCCAGCAAAGGAAATGTTTTCCAACTTTCTTGTTGCAGTGAGCAGAGAGGCCTTGTGCCTCGCTTTTATGTCTTAAAAACACGATATATAATGTCCCGGATGGCAGGAACGCCCCCTCCCCAGTAACTGGAGAGATGACACATTAATCAGTCACATTAAGCATAAAACCATTTATTTCTTTCAGGAATAAATTTCCTTTAAGGTTAAAATTAAAAGTTAGGTTAAGTTACGTTCTTATCAGTGGAACTAGTTATGAATGTACTGTATTTGTCCCAAGGTTTCCTTGGTATCAACTTTGAAATGGTATTTCAGACTATGAGTTTGTTTGCTACGTTTTGTTAAGGACATACCTGCACTGTACTGCCTTTAGGCATTGCTGTTTGGTATAAATGATTTATATTGTATTATGAGATGATATTTATAATATATTTAAATGAAATTCATATGAAAATATAAGAACCTATTTTAAGAACCTTGGTACTCTAAATTTGCTTTAAGTACCATTTATATAAGAACCTGTTAACGCTAAATTAAAAAATCCAGGTTCATATACGTGGGGTTTTACTGTACCAATCAATAAACCATGTATAAATGGTAAAAAATAGCAACCTCGAAGTTCGGTTCGATTGTATATTTGCTTGGAAACAAGGGTGATCGATAGTATACTTGCCTGGAAAAGAGGCTATTTGGCAACAGTGAACTAAAAAATTGGCGTTCACAGCTATCCGAAGACGAAATAGCTGAGTTTCTGGCTAAAACTGAACAGAAGAGATGATGAAAAACGCAAAACATATTGCTGGATGGATGCTGGAGTATCTGCGAGGAAAAAACATCTTTTTATATCCAGAAACCAATGATATCGCTATCCGGGGGCGTAGCTATACCTGTACACCAGTACTCATACGCGTAACTGAAAATATGTCGAAGATAACTTGAGAAACAAAAACAAACAAATCTTGTTTGCATTGTAAAGGAAAAGAGATGAAATTTACTGAAAGAACCAGGATTTGGTACCTCCTAAACTCTTTCTTCTATCACGTAGTCAGTTAAATGTATAGTTAGTAGACACGCTTCCCTATATAAAAGAGACTCCAATTAATCGTGATCTTATACTGCGGCCGTGTTACTGTAAACTGTTTTGGAAAAAAAGTTCATGTGACAAGTACACCAGGACAATCGTCCCTATCTTGCCTAGTCCCTAGGCCTCATGAAAATGCATTAACCGAGAAGGCCTGGAAAAACGCCTTACAGGGACTAGCTAGGCACGACCCTATCTAGATGTGACAAAATTATTTCTCTCATGTAACATCTTTGGACCAAACCTTCCCGAATATGACATGATTTTTACAAGGTCATGGGGGCTTCTTGTTTGTATTTTAAAACCAAACCAACTATCTCAGCTATAACCACGATTCTCAAAATTTAACGTTTTATACAGTCAAACCCCGTTAAAAGTCCAGTTTCGAATTAAAAATTACCGCTGAATACAAACGTTAACAAAATATAACTAGCAATAGTTCTCACTCACATCTGCCCCTGCCTTAGATATGACGTTTATTTTGCAATAAGTCTGCTAACGGTCAACACGTAATCTCCTTACTTCTATGGTCTTAGGTTATGACATTTCAAAACTTCGCAAAAACGTTATAATGATTAGTATTAAGCAACTGATAATAGTGATTAGGGACAAGCACTGACTTGAAATGGTTAGCTTTCATTTACTGTTCTGAGGTTTGTCATGTCAATATGTTAAACGAAAACCTAACTTGCAGTCGAATCTACTGTGGTGTAGTGGTGTAGGTGATGGTTTCGATTCTTCGGACCGCGGGTTCGGCCTTGAACCCGCTTATACCACATTCAATCTCCATTTTTTTCTCAAAAAAATTAAAGGGATTTTGAAAAAGATTAGTAGTAGAAATTTGAAGAGACATAAAAATTTCATGGAAGTGTAGCAAAGAGGGGAAGGTGGTTTTGGAGGATGGAATCTAAGTGCTGACCGGTCAACGACGTGTTTCCAGAATTTCCCAATACCACCTTGCGCGCTTGCTTACCAGAATTACCCAAGACCGCCTTGCGCACATGCTGAAAAATTAACCGGGACCAGTTTGCGCGTCTAGTTTCTTCAAATCGAGAAGATTTCGCATATAACCAATGCAACAAAAAAAACGATACTTCTCTAGGCGGGAGAACTTAGGGTGCCTCCTCGGGTTCCGGCCGGGGCAATTAGTTCTAATGAGGCCTTAAGCTGCTTAAGCTGCTGCTAAAAATGTAGTCCAAGCTTTCGCTTTGATCCCTGACAATCCGTTGATCGGCGAAAGGTTGGATAAGGGATTACATTTATGTTTTTTAAAAACAGCAGTTTAAGGCCTTTCATCAGTCATGCTGCTGAAGGGCAACATGGACAGATTATAAAAGATTAACGACACATTCATACAGGGTTAACCTCGACATAAAGTAAAATATTCACAATTTCCGGCAAGTAAGTGTTTAAAATGTGAAAATACACAATAGACACAGGCTAAGCCTGTAAAAAATGCGTCTTCACTTTTTTTATTCAGCGGTCAGAGCGAACTCAAAACTGGACTTATTGGACACTGAAGGGGCAATAGAAAGTGTCCTTATTAAGGTGGCACAACCCAGTACTTTGTAGGCACACCCTCCACCTTTGAATCTCTTATACTTAAACAAATTTATCTTCATTGTAAAACCATTATAACAAGTATATTACACATAGACTAAACTTTATTTCGATAATATTTTTTGAGCGATCAGAATAAATATCACGTGAAAATGACGTCACAATAGTTTTAATTCCACATCGAATTGCAGTCCTAAAAAAAGTCCCAATAGACGTGTTATGATGGTTTTACAATAAAGATAAATTTGTTCAAGTCTAAGGTCTAAGGCCTTGGAGTCATGTAAGAATTGTAATATATCGAACGTGGGCTGTTAGCATGTAGGTTGAACAAAGGAATGAATAACTCGAATACGACTGTTAACGCAGAAGGTGGAATGGTCAAGTGTTACATTGACTTACTTACGAGATACGACATTATTCAAACATGTATAGAAAATATATATTTGCATTGGCTCCAAATCACGCCTACGTTTCATATATCTTGGCGCAATTTTGGACTTTCAAGGGTGTTGAAACGTTTAAGGTCAATTACGACTCTTGCAAATCCTCTCTTGAAACTTTGGCATCTTTTTGTGTTTTTACATGCCCGATAAATTTAAAGGTTCTGCTTTCAATAAACCGCTTTTCAAATTTGTTTGTATAAATAATGTATGGTTGAATTAGTATCTTTCATTCATTTTTATCATAATAGTTCAACCAGAAAAATGACACTGACATAGAAAGCGAAAAGCTGAGTAGCTTTCTATTTGAATGGCCACTTTTCAGACTTAAAAGTAAAGGCCGGCTGAAGCAAGGGTTTAGCCGTGTATGACAGCATCAAAGCTACTTCAAACTGAACGTATAATTTAAATGGCAAAACGAAGATAATTTATCAGAACAAACATGTTTTTTTTTTTGGCTTTTTTGTAAAATTAGGTCCTTTCTGTTAACAAAGCATTTCTTTTTAGTAAACCATAACTCTAAATGGAATGAAAAGAAACAGTATAGTTATCGAGGTTCCTATTGAGTAACACCCGACCTAAATGATCGCCGGGACGTCTCGCTTGTATCATCAGTAAATTAAAACAATCCAAATTGTGTACGTTGAAGGCATTTGTTGACAAATGTTATAAAAATCAATTTTTGCCCGGTTCTCAAAAGTTATTGCTTCGCAAACAAATTTCCGGTAAATTCGATTATTTTCAAGGTATTTTAAAATTAGAAATAATAAATTGACGATCATTTCAATGACTAAAATTTGAAGAATTTGCCGCCCTGGTTTAAAAAAATAGGCGAAATACATTCTATGAATCGATATGAAATTCACTAGGAGGTTATTTCCTTTGCGTGATTAAGTTACTGTTCATAATAAGGAACCAGTGTTTATATCTTGAAGATAACATGTACTATTTGGCTAAATATTTTATGTGTTTACGCGAAAGCCATTTTCGAAGAGAGTATGCAAAACGTCGCAATAACTGTGTGAGTACGCTAACCAACAGTTTTCTTTGTTTAAAATTTTATTTCTGAATGGTGGAAGGGACGTTGTTATGGTAATTGCCCTGATGTAGATATAACAAAGTAAATAATCAAAATATTAACTGACAACTACACGCGAATGGGTCTTCGAATTGACTTTCTAAAGCTGAACGAGTTAAGATAGTCCTTCTTCAGTCCAGCCGGTCTGCGAAAGCGAGCCTTTAAATATGTAAGGAAGAGTTTTATTATCTGTGTTCTATTTTTCAAATTCGCACATTTCAAATCAATTTTTCGTGAACAACCACAAAACTTTACAAATAGCGACTTTATGCCCGTGAATAGATAATCTCTCACAGTTTTCGTTATTAGTATGTAACATATTCTCAACTTAACAGCGACTCTATTCCGTCATGTTTGGCTGATTGCTGTGAATTGGTCATATGTTTTGGCCTCAAAATGCTAAAATTCAATTTCGAATTATTTTATACAACGCACAGAGGGTTATATCGTTCGTATTTAGTGGGTTGAAAGTCGATATTAACTAGAAATGAAAGTATATAATGTTTTGAGAGACAGGTGCAGCCCCCCCGACTCTTCACTGTCTACATTGATTTTAAGGAAAGACATTTAATTTTACAGTTTATAGACAGCTTATGCGGCGGAATATTAAAATATACTCTTCCATGTTTGTAATAGTAAAAGCTACTTGAATAAAAAGCCTAGTATTCTTCTGCATAGATCATTTCTCATCTGCTGTACCGTTGTATCTTTAGGGACGACACAATGCCTGCTGGACGCCGAGGGCTTGTGGTACCACAGAATACTTTCCTTGAAAATGTTGTACGGAGATCAAACGGACTTCGTAAGTATTGTTGCTTTGTTAAAAATGGTAAACAACCTTTAAAAATAAACATTTTCGGCATTTCTCTAAAGGAAAAATAAAAATATCTTGATTCTAATCTAAAAATTGAATGCGTGTCGAATGAAACCTTTCCATCTTTTAAATATTTAGTAACAAAAACACATTTTGTCGTAGAGGTTTTATCTTTGCTCAAACTCAGCATGAGAATCAACTTATGCTTTGTTTCACTGATGAAAATTTTTTTATAAGAATACACTCGACTTGTCTGTTATTCTTTTTCAAAACCGAAATCAGGAATACAATAAGAGTAAATATAGAGAGAGCAAATTTACACTTTTTGTTCGATTGTCTAATTAATCCGGGGAGCTCTTATCTCAGAAAGATAATAAATAAAACCAAACTAAGGGAGGTAGCAAGAAAAAATGCCTTGAGGGTAAGGAGGCCGATTTGGAAAACATAATTTGCTTATGCATATTAGAGCGACTTAACAAAGATTCAAAAACGCCCTGTCGCTTTGGCAGATTGACTTGACTCGAGAAAGATGATTTATACATGTGTTGTATCATATAAAGCAAAAGCCAAAATTGCCTAAACTTTTGTTACAGAAAATTTTACCTACCATTTTGACATCCACTTTGTCTTTTCATTAGGTCAAATAAAATGGAGTGTTATGTTTAAAGTCATGTTTTAAAAACGACCGTTTTTCAAGAATTTTACGAAAAAATTATTGGCGAAAAAAATCTCTTATTTCAGCCCCGGAGTGTTACCCCAATTTTTCAGCCGGTTATAATTTTTATGTTCATTATCGCGGAATATCAACAGGCGTTCCAAAGAGCAACGGTTCCCAGCACTGCGACAAATATCAAGTCTATTTCAGTCTTATTACAAGTGCTTTTCGTGGTGTCGGCCTCGGATTCAGATTGGCCAAAATGACAAATCGGCTGAAAAAAAAGTCAAAATATGAGCGCGATTTCTGTACAGATACCCATTTTTATCTTAATTGTTATTGCAAAATTAAGTAATCGTCCGATAGGTAACTTTTTTTTTGCGCTGCAAAATATTACCTCCATTTGCTCACTATCGAACTGTTTGTTTGTTGCGTCAGACGTTGATTCAGATTAGCCAAACTGAAAGGTCTGACAAATTGGCGCTTGAGTTAAGAGACGCAATACGAGCACGTTAACTTGAGCCAACGGCTGGATCGAAGATGGAAACTTGCAGCGTGTAAGATGAGTGTGCAGTCAGAAGTATATGACTTTGATATCTTAAGAAATAAACGTATGTTAGGCTCGTTTCGATCATATTGCTATAGATTAATACTAGAAATGCTGCCCTAAGTTTGGCCTCAATGACCAGCCAAAAAAATATGGTATAGCCCCGATATAGACTATTATACCCTAAATGACAAGTAGTCTATTCGCTTGCTACAGATGCAGAAACCTGTTATTTAGTATATAATAGTCCTCATGTCGCCACTAATTAAAAAAAATCATGTGGCGAAGACCAAAATTATGCAGCTGTATTCAACTTCAGAAAGAATGAAACGTTTCATCATAATAACTCACGTCTTTAATATTTTTTTCTGCCTCCCCTCGCGTGAAAAAAAAAGACAAACTATCTTACTGTTATTTAGATGTACCGTGCTGTTTCAGCAGCTAGTCTAAGAAGAATATCAGTCGTGAAGGTGTTTGAACACCGCTTGGATTATTATTGACGAATCGAAGCAATCGGAGCCAAATGGGTTTGGTGTTTAACTACTAGACAAAACTATAATAAAGATAAGACACTAACAACACATTTACCTTTTTATTATTTTATTCATGAATATAATTATAAAGGCTTGAGCTTACTCCTGTTGATCTTATGGTATAAAAAATAATCCTGAGTATTAAGGTAACATAGCCTGCAATAAACGGCGTTATCTAGCCTAGCGCAATACTAACGCGGTGGCGTTGATTTTAGTTTCGGTCATGCGCACGGGTGGAGCTGTTCCGGAACGCTGACCAAGAAGGCCACCGACTTCAAAACATTTAGTTATTCTTTTTTATGATTTTTTTTTTTTTTTTGGGGGGGGGGGGGGGGGGGGTTGGGGGGACGGTTGATGGTATCTCCTCTGTTCGCGAAGTTCTGCCGTTTTTATCGTAATGGTGTTCAACTGTGAGTTTCCAAACAGGTTACGGAAGGATTAACGATTGAAATTGATATTTTGCATTTGGATTCTTTTGTGGTTTAGCAAAACTACCTGTGAGCTCTTTAAAAGGACTCCTCATAAGGTTTGATTAGAATAACTGACATGCACAAACAAGTGAAACGTTTGGTAGGTAACATAACGATTGACTTGACAGCGATATCCTCACCATCTATTCTGTTGTGGATCCGGCTGGGAGTTGCTCAGTGACACTGCTACAAAATCCGTACTATTTCTTCACTTTCAATAGCCCTTTGGAGCTAGTCACTCACGTGATACACACTGGACGAAAAAATGGATTTGCTGAGAGCTAATTTATGCAAATCGATATTTTCGTCCAGCGACAAAACAACCATGCTGGAAGAGACTCACTGAGAGAAGACAAACAAAGGAAATTCAGATGATGTGAGCTCTTTGTTTGTCTTGTGCCGGTGCGTCGCTTGATTTCCAGCATGGCGGTTTTGTACAACGTGAACGACTATCTTCAAAGAGCCTATAAACATCTCAAAAGCAGCTATGATTAAATGATCGCCCGGCTTAGGATAACTGTGCCGACGACAATTAGCACAGCTAAAAAATAAGTAAATAAATAAATTTCCGTTATTTATTATCGGCAGTATTTCCAGTACTGATGCTATTGGGGCCGACCAAATGCTTGAAACCTAAGGCAAACCAGTTGCCTATGGCTATTTATAAGCGTGGTAGAGGATTGAACTCAGGATTATCCAGAATAAATCCAGCTAGCGGTCAGAGCAGTCCAGTGCTCTAACCACCCGGCTACACTGCCTTCTCCTCAGTAGGAATTCTTTTTCCCCCATTTTGAGTCTGCGCAAGGAACGCCTCCACCTCCAGAGGCACCCGACGAAATATCTTGTTCGGAAAAGCAAATATTGCCTAGAATTTTGTGTTGCTTGAGGACAAATTGCTACAAATATCTAGAAGACTCGTCCCTTCATGTACAAAAAGTTTCGAAACTTCTCTAATAAATTCCCTACGATTTTCGGAAGCTTAATTTTTCACATTTCACTCCCCAATTAAAGCTTTTCTCGTATTCTCCCAACATCCCAAGTGGGTTATCACGCCGGTAAACCCATAGAAAGTGTGGTATATTGCTTTTCTAAAATAACTTAAAGTAAAACTATGAGTTTACCGGCACTATAAACCATAGGTTTTTAACAAATCAGCCGAACGCGCGAACTATCTTAGTTATTTTATAAAACACTAATATGAACCATCCATGTATTTCATATATTCCCATTCATCTCAATTCCATTTTCGAATAACAAGAGGACTCGCAATAGGCGAGTTTCGTATTCCTGGGCAGTGACAAGTGCTTTTTTTCTGCGCGAAAGCGAGAGGCTAATGCGGGTCACTTCTCACCAAGAAGACAAACAAACATAAGAAAACTGTGGCTGAGATGCCAAAAAAAGGAAAATTTGAAAGTTTGAAAGGTTTTGGAGGTCTTAAAACTTACTTATAGGCGTGAGAAATTATTGTTTCAAACAGTAAAAGGAAAATCAGCTCGTCATCGCTAAAAAAATCAACGAGCCTAACCAGAAATTGACTAACCTGAGATCAGGCCCAATTTGAGTGGCTCTCATACATTCTCTCTAACGGCTACCGCTAAAATTGGGCCTCTCTTTTCGTTTCGCCATGCCCGCCGGAATGTTATTTACAAAGCGAAACGAAAATATAACCTTATCTCAGGTTAGAAATTGACCGAAGTAGTGATCGGTGAGTAAGTACAATAAAAATGCGAAGATCCTTCAACAAGGTAATACCCTGAAGCCATTTTAATGTTATTTTCAGTGATGGTTAAAACTACTTTAAGTCTGCCTTCCACTGACTGGGGGCATGGAGCTGCTTACTTGTCGAAAGCCTGCAAGTGAAACTGAATCCTTGCTTTTTTTAGTTGACATTTTTTCTAACGGAGCGAATGCAAAATCTTGTGTATTAAAAAAAAAACCGATGGGGCAGACTTTCTGCATAAATTCCTTGCACTGTAAGAAAGTTAAATCGATTTAAACGAAGATGACTAAAACAGCATAAGTTTATTGTACATAAGTTTACATTCAGCTTACATTATTTATCAAAATATTCAGTCACACGTACGCACATTTCACTCGACAAGAACTCAAAAACAGAATTTTATACAAACGATATACTGAGCAGTTTAAACTCCATTTTACAGATATACACAAGAGTAAAATAGAATACTATAAGAAGTAAGATAATTAGAGGGAATAAAATGTCATTTTAACAAACTTTACACTTTTTAAGCTTAAAAGGTTTACTTCTTCTTTTGGCTTCGTGACCTTTTTCCTTTCCTTTCGTTCCAGTAATATCTTTTGTCTGGTTGATTCAGCTTTTCGTTGCCGATAAGCAGCTTGTTAAGCTCTCTAAAATAGTTTTTGATCATCGACTTATACAGCAATCATAATTTGTATTGCAGACTCCATCTTTATATTGGGGAATGCGCAGATCTTGGAAAATCCTATCGTTTACACCAGCGACGGGTTCTGCAAGTTCACCGGGTACACTCGCGTAGAGGTCATGAAGAAGAACTGTGACTGTAGCTTCCTCTATGGTCAGCTGACGGACCCTGAAACAGTAAAGGAAATACACAGCGCTTTGCAGTCAAAGACGGCTATTCAAAAAGAGGTCATTTGTTACAAGAGAGACGGTAAGATTATCAAACTAAATTCTCCTTAGACTGTTTTTTTACTCCAAAGTTGAGGATTCTGAATTCAATTACAACCCTGAAGGCACCTGGAGGCTGATTTACACGTTGACTACGTGTAATCCGTCGCGACGCAAGCATAAGCACAATAACATTATAAAAACACATACATTCTTGTGCTTGTTAATCTTGGGTAAAATCTGCTAGTGAATGATTTATTCTCCCTGCCCGTAATGCTCGCTTATTCTGATCGAATTCCGCTTGGTATCCTAAAAATTATCGCCGGCCTTTCGGGCCTTATGTATTTTTAAAAATGTGGAAGGGAGCCAAGACCTAACACCTACATAAATTACCCATTAGATATTTCAGTATTATATATAGCGAAACTCTAATTCGTCATTTTCATTTTGAAAAACATCACACATTTAAGTCGAAACGGTGATTTTTTGTGATGATGATTATTATTAGGATCTTCCATCTTGTTTTGTACAATGCCACTGTTAAAGTGATTGTTACAGACGTTCCTTTTCTCTGTTCAAATACTGCTCGAAAATATGTTCTTCTGCAGCTGAATGCTCACCTACAAAAAACGCGCATTCTAGCAGACTTCTTATATGAACCTAGTCACAAAACCCTCTTTTCCCACCGTCTCCAAATTTTATCCTTCCGCGCCTGCGTAAGTCAGCGTAGGCTTACCGCGCTTTTACCGCGCGTGTACACATCATCTGCCTACCTCAACGTGTAAACCAGCCTTAACCAACAACCGGTTCCTTTAGCTATAGTTTGATTATGCCAATGAGTAATGTGCCGCTAGATAAATGTTAATATATGTCTACGTTGTTTATTTTTTAAACTTGTACAGGCCTCGTCAACACGTATCCGGATATTTTTGAAAACGGAGACTTTTCTCCGTTTTCAAAAAAAGTGCGCGTCCACAGGTAGCGTATTCAAATCGTTTTTGCCCATCCACACGATAACACTAAGGCCCTGCTTACAAGGAGGGAGGTCAGGGTAACCCTGGTGCTAGGGTTACCCTAGCAAGGTGCAAGAGGGTTAGCTGGTAACCCCGGGACAACTTTCCTCCGTCGTGCGTGACCAGTAATCTTGACAATTTCAACGGAGTTATCCAATTTTTGAGCTAAATTATAAACATCTGAACAGTATAAGGTATTTTCTGCGTGCGATGATAATATTTTCTCGTTTTTTCGTGAATTTAACGTGTTTTCCATAGAGAATTTCAAGTTTTATTTCAAATCTTGAACGTTACAAAGAATGTCACGCATGACGAAACACGTCAACAAAGCTGGTAAAGTTGACCCGGGTGATAGGGTAACCCTACCGGTGAAATTTGCTTGTAAACCAGAGCTAACTTTAACCCGCTTGCTAGGATAACCCTAGCACCAGGGTAACCCTCTCCCCTTGTAAACAGGCCCTAAAACGATGCCGATACGATAGCGTCCCCTACAGGGCGTGTGCTGTATGTTGTCGTGCTCGAAATCCTCCGATTTCGTCCGTCCCCTTGAGGACGAAAATCCGGCGTTTTTGGAGCCCCGCGATGCCGACGCCTTTTGATTGTGGACGGAAAGCTAAAACGGAGAAAATAGTGTCTGTTTTGAAAAATATCCGGCTGGGTGTGGACGGGGCCTGAGCGAACTGAATTGGCGTATTCAACTCCAAGCGACTTTCACCAGATCGCATCTTTTTGCTTCGAATTTTGTGACTGGTTCTTGTTTTTGGTCACGAAAAACTTCCCTTTCTTTCCCCTTCAAGTTTCAGTATGTAACTACGCCCTTTAACGCATTGTCACGCAGTATGTGTAAACACAAATATACGGCTTGTTCGTTCATTTTCCAGGTACGCCAGTGTGGCTACTGTTTCATGTTGGACCAATCAAAGACGAGAAAGGTGAAGTGATGTTATTTCTTGTCACGTTAAAAGACATCACAGAATACAAAGATCCAATCGTGGGACCAGGTAATATTGTTGAATATGTCTGTCTCTATCATCATTCTTTTTCTCATATCGTAGTTTACGGGAAATGCGCATGGTAAATGCTCGCTCTGCACACAAGAGAAACCATTTCACATTGTATTTCCAACACATAGTTTGAGCGGGTTTATGAATAACTCATCCTTTTCACACTAAGAAACAACTTTCTGGTATAAAGGGTTAGTTGAGTGAATGTTCCCTCGATAATTGTCATCGTGTGATATGTTCATATATTAACTACTGTGTTAACGTGTTATTGGTTTTTTTTTTCAGTTACTTTAAAACCAATCCCCAGCAATAGTACAGTGAATGTTTTAACAGGGAAACTCCTTCGTACGCGATGGTATTAATTCGGTTCCTGCATTAAAAAGGAGCTGAACTTATCTTGAACTAGGTTTAAAAGTAATGAAAATGTTAACTCCGCTCACCTAAATTCCTGCATGGTATTTCTAGAGCAAACGTGGGAACTATTGGAAAGAGGTAACTCTACCGTTAGAAAGGACTGTGAGTGTAATTAACTAAACGTTAATTCAGCCTAAATGGCAGACCGCTTGTCAGCATTACCGACGTTTTGATATCAAGTTCAAGTTTTAATTTTATTTATTATATATGAAAACTGCTTACAATCAATCCAACTGACCTGCAGGTAGCTAAATTAATCGAGACAGGTCAGTCTCACAAGTTCTAAATATTATGGATTTCCGAAAAAAAAAAAAAAGAGATTAACAACGGAACAGTTTTGCAAAACAGAGCCAAACGTATATTAAGTAAAGTGGTTCCACATTAAATCGAAAAAGGAAAACTAATAAAAACACAAAAAAATGAAATACTAAAAAAAATATGATATGATAGCTACCGAGATATATATGAAGAAAAAGATATAAGGTAACGTTTTTAGAGACCGGCCATGATTTTGTCATTATATAAATAGTTGTCTCGGTTTTCAAAGTATTTAATAATGCTCCTTTAAGGTTTTTTCTCGGATAGTGTGGGATAAGACTGAGAGGTTTTCTGCTCTCTTGTTCATGGAAGTTTATTCGAAAATGGTAATGCATGTTGTACACATGCCCAGAGGTTGGAGCGTGCCATCTTACCATCCCTCAAGATTTGTTGCGGCAGCTAATTATTCGATTTGTCCAAAGATGGTGTGTTTTCACTAAATGCCCACTTACAAACATGCGGCGTCAAAATTAGTTACTGAGCCACCTTTTGATAAGCGACATTTCCCGTGCGCGTTCATGATTAATTTCCGACTTGATCCTCTTCCAAGGAAAAAAGCTGCGTGCTATTTCCTCCCTCTCTCCTTTACAATGTAAGTGATGTAAGTGTTGTGTCGCTACTCGAGTTGCTAAAAGAAAGCAAGAAACAATTCACCTTTGGTTGAGGTGGGGAAGATTTAATATTGTTTGATGTCCGAAATTAAATTACCGTATTTGCATAACTCCGACAAAATTATAGCAAAAAGTTGCTAACTGACTTACTTAGCTTTTTAAATGGGATATTAATCAGTGATTTCTCATATGAAGCTTTTATGACAACTAGGAAAACCATTGTAAGGAAGTTTGCTCAGAAAATACCATTTTCTATGGAACCTCCTTAGGTGGAGGGAGACGTGCAAAGTGCAAAGAGCTAAAATCTTTGTAACGCTAGTATCAGGCGTTTCTGAGGAAAAGGCAAGAAAGGAGAGAAAAGAGGAAACAGCAAAGGGAGAGAAACACCTTCTTTACTCTCTCTTTTCCCCCTCCCACTTCGTCCTTGAAAATTTCCTCTTCTCTCACCCCTGAGGAAGGCCTAACACTTAGGGTTAATAACCACTTTTTACTTTGGTGTCTCACTACTGCGCATGCTTGTTTCGAGATGAGCGATATGTATATATTGGTGCTGTTTACATGGAGGGAGGAAGATCCTAGAAGGCGGGTCATCTTAGCGCCATATGTTTTCTGTATTCAGTTTACATGCAAGGGGTTGTACTCCCTAGAGCGAGGATTGTCCTAGCTGAGAGGTAGGAAGATCTTAGCACCATGCAAACTGCCTTTGCTAGGAAGATCATAGTACTAGGGGGGTCGTTCAGTGGCTAATCACTGCAATACTGGCCGATCATTTCGTTTGACGTAATCACAAGCTGATTGTAGTGATAAATAACGGCAGTAAAAGAGCAGAAGGGCTCAAATGGCTTTTTTTTACGCTTGCCATCTTTAATTCCTTCTCTACTTGGGCACCACACGGACCAAAACTTCTGCGTGTAAACCCAACATAAAGTTGTTCCGCTTTCTAGAATCTTCCTGGTGCCAGGATCTTCCTCCCTCCATGTAAATAACCCCTTCAATACGCGTTTTTCTATAAGAGAAGAAATAGGGCACTAGAGCTTATAAGTCCTATCCTCAAGATAATCACCCTCAAGCTGGTCTCATCTGATGTATCATGCTACTGTTACAGATACTGGAGGACCCAAGGGCTGGGCACGACTGAACAAAACTCTAACTCGCCACAAGTCAGTTCTTGTAGCATTTAAACATAAAACGTCGACACAGAAGAACGCGCAACAAATCACCAATGTGAGTATTAAACAATTCTTATTGAAACTTAGTACTCCTTTTTTAATGAAATGTTCTAACAGTACTAACGTAAATGATTCATAAAAAATGCGTGGGCTCTTCTCTGTGATTGGCTGCAATACTTCTTCCTTTGTTTGTTTGACCTGTTTGCGATGATCAAACGACCGACCTCGGAACTGAGGAAGAAATTTGATCGGCTTTTTATTTTCTCTCAAATGAGTTTCTTTGAGCACTTGCGTGAAAACGTTCTTAAGATAAGAGGGGTCTTCAATATATGATAATGCCTGAAATCTGAGGCCCTCTTAAAAAACAATGACCGAGCGCGTAGCTGGGTGGTTGTTCGAGAAAATGCCAACCTCGTTAACAGGAATTTGGGAAAATACGATGTATGGATTAATTTTGTTTTGTAGTGAATGTTCCGGCTTTCAACCAGTTTATTTTAGTTTGGGATAGGGTTGGTCCAAAAAAAAGGTTCGTGTCGGTCTATAGAAGGATTGATGTAATTTATGTTGTAAAAACAATAATTCAGTTAGCAATATTGACAAAATCAGATCAGGGGTGTTTAAAATTTTCGAATGTCGTTTAATTACTTTCAAGTGAAGAACCGTGTTATTTACTGACAGGCTAGGAAGGTGGCATATGGATTGTTTCATTTTCTTTCTCCAAACACGATAGGGCCAGAAAGATCACAGAAAGTAGAGATATTGCGATTACTTCCACTTGCCTTTTCCGTATGAAAGAAAAATTTCGGTTAGTACCTTGGACGGGTCATCTGCTTCAAATGGCATGAACAGCAGGAAATCACGTTCTAAACTTTTTGGCCTTCACGTGCGAGCGTATATCTTCCTGCATTGCGTCATATATACCGGATTCTTAATTTAAGACAAACTTGACATAAAAATTTGGATATAGTGATAACTTGTCTTTTTTAAAAATGCACAAACGGTCTGCAAAGATATAAAGATGTTACAAAAAACAAATTGGTTTTGATCATAAAATTGACGAAATTTGATCGCCGGCTGTACTACTCTGTTTTTTCTTTCAGCTGAACGCTGTCATTCCCCCTGGCATTATTACTTACCTTAGTGCTATTAAAATTTTAAAAGAATGACACAGTTTGCACATAAAACAAAAACACCTGCTTTAAGTGCATTATTGGGATATACAATCTCTCGACATTTCTGCCTTTTACAATTAAAACTTTGTGTATTATTTGAAGAGTCTGCTCGCTTTCGTTTTCTGATCATGACAAAATTGTACTGCTGCATGTTTTCATTGAATTGCGTTTTTCGGAACCCTTGCCCGATTTATATGACTTCAGAGAACGATTTGACATTGTGACATTGCGAGTATTCCAATTTAAAAGGTTCGCCTATTTACACAATGCTTTTCTTAATCACTCGATATAGTTTTGAATTTCAAAGTAGGCGACTTTTGATAATTGCAAAAGAAAACAAGTTTCAAATAAATTCAAACGAAACAATTACATCAAAGTCAACACCGCAATCTTGGGTAATGCGTCTACATATTTATATCCTGTTTGTAAAGGAGGAACAGCTCAGATAATTCAGACAACGATAGCATTGGCTTTAAATCTTCCTTTAGTCTGCTACACAAACTAACAAAATCCTAAAATGTCTGTTTGGCCAAAGCCTGAAAACCCTCTCGGTAACCTGGCATTTTCCCGCCCGCAAAACAATCAATCTGTAAGTATTTCGACTTTTTTTTATAGTTTTACTGTAAGATAAATCATTTTCAGAATAAACGGGTTACTATAATGAAAATGATTATTTGGTAGGATATAGAAGCCACAAATTTCTCCCGATTTTCCCATTTTTGAGTCTTTGGAGACTACTGTTGCGCATTTTTCAAGCGTATACTTGGCAGATTGAAACAGCTCAACATCGAAAATATCTTGTATTGATTTATTTTATGGATTCAAAAATATAAATTTGTGGCATTAAATTTTACAGATACCAGGCAAAATTACTGATGAAATTGGACGCGATCGTTAATTGGAAAATTTTGAGCGTTGAAGTCAAATCTTTGCATTAGGCATGTTTTTCATGGACGGAAAGTGGTTTCTGGCGTGTCACGTTCGGCAAGTGTTATATTCGAGGCAGGTGTTTTTGCAAAAATAATCGAGTTTTGCTTGAGTGAATTGTAACACGTTGCAATAAATGCTTTCAAAAGTAGCATCGAAATTTCAGAAATTTGAGTTCGATAACTCCTGGTAAGACAAATACTTAACTATGCCTTGCATTTGGTTGACGGTCTCGAAACTGTTGAAAAAACTGGCTACGGAAATGATCAAGAATGACCAGCATTTGATTTTTACAAAAACATACTAAGGATCAGCAGAATAAAGGAAATGATCGCAAATTCTTCTTATCTGAGTGTATTTTTAGAATTTATGGAAGAATGTGTAAGAGTTGAGCGTTCGTGTAGGTTTGGACATCTTCGTACCTGGCCTTTAGTGTTCGTGAAAAACCGGCCCCGAAATAGCGGCGAAAATGGAGCTTTCGTCTAGACGGGAGTAGCAGTACTCCAAGGTGATTCATGCTACAGAAACTGGGATGCTCTGATTATGTGACTGAGCCTTATGAGGTAGCCTTGTTGGCTCTTATTGCACCTTTACTTTTCACCTATACTAATTTCAGCCGATTGGCGCAATCACGCTGCTCTTAACCAACAGAGAATTTGGCAAGTCGCTTTGTCGTAAACTTTACCAGGCGAGGACGTTTTTGCTGGTGTAATGAAGCAATAAATTTTGACCAATCAAGTCGCTCGTAGTATAAGTTACTTAATGCAGTTGACTCCCGGTAACTCAAACCATTCGTCTGACTCGAAGCTCACCCTAAGCTCATACCTTGATCTGTGTTGCACTTTACAAAAATATCGCTCTTTATGTACTCTTTCTTCGTAAAAAAGTCTGATTTTGAATCGTGTTAGCAGCAATCAAATGTAGTACGTACAGAGCGAAGAGACCGTCTTATGTTGCAATTGCTCATCATTTGTTTCCATCCTTCTGTGCCAGACTCGAACTCACCAGAACTTTTATTAAAAATCTCTTTAGAAAGTTTTTTCACCACGGCAGGATTAGCTCAGTCGGTGGCGCGCTTGATAGACTGCAAAACAGTCTGTTTTTTTGCGTATTCAAATACGCGTGGGCAGTCAAACAAAATGTCTGGAACGAGGCTGAAAACAGTCTCTCGCCTGACACGCCCGTAGGGCGTTCCAGGCTCGCGAGCTTCGCGCGCGAAAGAGTCTTACCCAACTTACCGATTTCTTTACTGATTTTGAGGAAAAAACGACTGTTTTGCAGTCTACGCGCTTGACCGCAGACCGGAAAGTTTTGGATTCGATTCCCAAGGCCAATACTACGGGTCTTAAAATAACAGAGAATAAAGGTGCTGCATACCTTGCTTGCAAACAGCTCACCGGACGTTTGCGTGGCTCGGATGACCACATGAGGAGTGGCGGCCCCATCTCCAGTAGCCTGAGGAGACGTAAAGATCATGTCTTGAATTAGTACTTTCATGCTTAATCCATTGACACTCATTGCATTTTATTTTGCTTTACTTTTTTTTATGAGTTTTGCTTATAAGTGTTTAAACGATTTATTACGTGATCATGCAATACCTCTCTATATTTACGCCAACGTTTTACCCTTGAACTTTCTATATTATCAGACTGTCTAATCTCATGCATGATGACCATAACAATAATGTACCTTCAAGCATTCTGAATTTATTTCAAAAAACAAATATGCGATCTAGAATTATATAAACTGTCTTTTTCTCGCTTTGGGGCTAAGCTGTTGAATGAGACGCCCTAGAGAAGACCTTTCTGTTCTCGTTCGAAAAGTAAGAATTCTTTTTTGTTTTGCACCTGCTAACGAGGTCAGAAAGGCCAATTATCATACATATAAAAGAATATATCCATAGGCCGCCATTATGAAAAAGGTCTATTGATACACCCACTTTAATTAAAAAGGTAAAATCAACCACAAATGTCAAAAAAAGAAATTTTTTGCTTACTAGTTTCTACTTTTACAGTTTGATATTTGTTTAATCCTTTCTTTTCTGCCGTGTTATTTAGTCCTCAAACATATTTTTACAGTCAAGCCAGGACAAGCTTACCACCGTACCACCCCCCCATGATTCCATGAATGAAGTTATTATTCGAAAGTTGAATCCCGTTGGTAGTCGTAGATTTCAGATTCATCTTTGCATTCTTACATGCGTAATGAGCCGTGAATTCACGCGCGGCAGTTTTGATGAATTGACGAAAAAGTCTTCGAAGGCGTTTTGTCCATTCAAAGATTTTCAATCTGACCAAATACGGAGACATTCTCGTAAAATAAAATATTCATTGCTCATTACGCATGCAAAAAATGTCGATTTGAATTTGGCACGACTAACGGATTCATTTTTTAAATAATCAATTCATTAATAGAATCTTGGGGGGGGTACGCTTGCCCTACCTTGACTGTATTTGTAAACTGTAAGCTTTTCTTACTTAATTTCTTTTTTTGCTTGCACTGTCCCTCCTTGAATAGCCTTGTTAGCTGCGGGCAGTACTTTTGTTTTATTGTGTGGTTTTTTATAAAGTTTTGTTGTTGTTGTTTTAGCTGATGTCCTTGAATGACGAGTTATTACCTGATTACAAGCTGGACGTCCCTCATACTCCTCCCAGGGTTATTCTTCATTATACAACATTTAAAACAACTTGGGACTGGATCATTTTATTTTTAACCTTATACACCACAGTCTCCGTGCCTTTTATCGTTTGTTTCAATTTCGAGAACCTGGGATTAGCCGTCTTGGATTTGATTGTAGACTGGCTGTTTCTTGCTGACATCGGACTCAACTTTCACACCACATACGTGGGTAAAGATGGCGAGGTGATTGACAACTTAAAGATGATTCGATGGAATTACCTACGTACTTGGTTCTTCTTGGATCTGGTGTCGTCGTTACCTTTTGGAATCCTGTATTTTATAAGCAGAGGTTCAGATGCGGTGAGTTCCTGCCCTCAGCTTTGATAATAATGATAATAATAATAATAATAATAATAATAATAATAATAATAATAATGGAATTTATATAGCACTTATACATCGCTGTTCTAAGCGCTTTACAATGTAAAAAAGGACATAAGAATATCATTAATCACAAGCTTACATATAACACTACTGTACATATTGGGAAATTTATAGCATACACGTCTTAAAAAGGAAAGAAAACAAAAACAAATATGATGAAACTAAATGTCCTTTACCTTTTTAAAAAGAAACGTTTTCAACTTAGATATAAAAAGATTAACATCAGAACAAGCTCGAATTTCAAAGGGGAGCTTGTTCCATAGTCGGGGGCAGCAACGGAAAACGCTAGCTGGCTGATTCATCGCTGATTCATAGCACTACTGAATAGAACCTTCCATGGGTCATTTTGATAAAGACCAGTAAGCCAATATCCATCGTCACTGCTGGAAAGAGCGCCTTGAAGTTAGTGAACATACTGAGTTTAAAAGTAATGCATCCAAGGCGAGCGATTCAGACATTGCTCCACACAAAGTTGGGTAATTTTACAGACTTTTGTATGGTGAGGGTACGAACTTGCCCACCATCATGTAGGTGATTTTGCAGAGCTATATCTCGGCAACTTTTCTGGTTTTAAGGCGTTCTAACCAGCTGTGTTGACGGCCCTTTGGGGGAGAGTAATCCACTGCCTTATTATCTTAATTCAAATATGAACTATGTCAGAAGTAGATTAATCCATATTAACTGGATACCAGCTTCCATACTATGTAAGGGAAGGAACAGTTGACAAATGTTTTAAGAAAAACGGTTAAAAACCAAAGAAAAGGCTTTCTCCCCCGGTCGCCAGTTTTTTTCTTTTTGTGTTTTTGTTTGGACGTTCGCGGAAACAGTTTTTCGAGGGAAATAATAGTTTTAAAACTAAATCAAACGGGAAAGGGTTGACTCAACGTTATTGCACATATGGATGCTCTGGGTAATTGACTCCTTCTTCCATAGTATTAACTTCAAGATTAGTGAATTTTTCAGGGCTGTTTTGATCCTTTTGGCTGAAAAGAGCCTCGGAGTGGGCTTAACTAGATCTAGGCTCCCCAAGAATCCGCAGGGAGATATCGACTCTTTGAGGCTGAAAAAAGTTGACACTTAGGAATGGTAACACTTTGAATCAGCCCTAAAATAAATCAAAATGCAGACAAACAAACAGCAGCAAGAACACTTGGTCAGATTTAGGTTAACATATGACAAAATAGCTTTGTCTGTTCTGCTAAAACTACCAGAAAAAGACATAGCAAGAAAAAAAGAATAGAGTTAAGCCATCAACGTGAATCAATTGCCTGACAGCCTACATTCGTATCCTTTTGACGGTCAAGGACCATTTGCTGAAATCTTTAATTTCTTTATGTATTTATATAGCGTCTCTCATTAGAACGGTTAGGACTTTTCACAGTGTGATATCGGCGCCAAACCCTATACATGTACAATGATCCTTTCCCAGCTGACGCTCTTTTCTCAATTTCTTTTAAATAACTCTGGCCCCGGTTGTTCAAACGTCGGATAGCGCTATCCACCGGATAAATCACTATCCAGCGGATAGCGTAATTGATTTCCGTAATACTTATCCGCTGGATAGTGATTTATCCGGTGGATAGCGTTACCCAGCTTTTGAAAAACCGGGGCCTGGTCATTAACTGGGACCTGTGCTAAAATTACATGAGGAGAATAATGAGTTGTGTAAACCTTAATCAGGGTAGCAAGTGCTCAATGACATGTCGATCACTATGCATTTTAGTCCCTCAGTTCGATAGTCTGGCCCACCCAAGGCAGTTTTTCTTTTTTCTTTTTTTTTTTTTTTGACAAATTCGAATGCGCAAGGATTTGCTGTGTGATTGGCGAGGCTAAACGTTCCTATATCATGTTGGCCATTTCCAAATTTTGATCCAGCGGTTTTGCATTTTTTTCTCTTCCTTTTTCAGGGTCTTACGAATTTACTCGGCTTTCTTAAAGTATTTCGTCTTTTGAGGCTTGGCCGTGTAGCGAGGAAAATTGATAAGTACTTGGAATACGGTGCATCCACGTTCTTCCTGCTCATGTTGTCCTTCTGTCTTGTTGCACATTGGATGGCCTGTATTTTTTACATGATCGCCACAACGTATGATAATTACGAACCACACGGCTGGCTTTTGGTAAATAAGTTACATTTTATGCTTACAGTTTGGGTGCATTTATGCGAGGGTTATGTATGTGATTTATTCTCCTGAAGGCCGATAAACGGTTTATTTTTACATTGGCGAGGATTCCTAAAGGGATGCAAAAACACACTGCATGAAGGAAATGCCTCTACTGTTAACCTTTCTTTTGTTTTTCAACATTCCATGCTGGCACTGATGACCTTAACATAGGCCACTTCCGAGTTCCAAAAACCCTCACTTTCAAAACGAGGCCAGGTGCACAACCTTTTTTGTGAAAATGAGTTTTATTTGCTTGAGAATGAAAAATGATTTCCATTACTAGGGCTGAGCACCTACCCTCGTTTTGAAACAGAGGCGCGGGGGAACTCGGAAAAGGCCTATTACATATATGGGATGGTAGTTTTTCAAAGTCGCATTTCGAATTAGTTGTTTGTAGTGATTGCTAGAAACAGCTTGGAATTGAGCGATTCAGATTCAGATCTGTTTATTACTCAAAGGTCTCAAAGCAGTTTTAGTGGCGTCCCTCCAAATGAACTCTCGGAAAACAATTTTTCATCTTTATTTGCGGGTGCAGACAAAGAGCAAGCAGTTAACAATTTCAATTTTTCCACCGAGAATCTTTTAACCGGGTGCGTTTCTTTAAGGAACACCAAAAAAAAGAATCATGATTAGATAAAGCCTGACACCTCTGTTACTTTTTGAAGGTGCTGGGAAACACTGTGGGACCACCTTATCGGTTCAAGAACGGTACAAACGAGATTGACGTTAAGAGCGGGCCCACGCTGGCCGCCAGATATGTGTCAGCTCTGTACTACACGCTTACCAGTCTCACGACTATTGGCTTTGGTAACATTGCTCCCAACACTACAGCTGAGAAGCTGTTTGGCTGTGTTACCATGCTGTTAGGAGGTGAGTAAGGTCATCTCATTCTTTGGGGGCCTTAAGAACCGAGGACTACGATGGCGGCAAAATCGTAGTTAAAAATTGATTCCGCGCTCTTTCAATCTGTATTTGTCACATTTAGGCACCTTCTCGTGGACGAACCATATCCAAGTTCAGAGAGAGAAAGAACATTTCGTCGTTTCTTGTTCACGTCCTACATAAAACTTGAGATTAGGCATTTTCACCTCGTAGTCGTTCAATGACGGCAAAGAAAACCACCGTGAAAAGTGATACACGTGTAGTTGTTTTTAGCTAATTTAAAGGCTATTGCTTCTTTGACGATCTCGTTTCCGTCGCCATCGTCGGATTTTTAGCTCCCTTTTATCCGACCGGGGGAGGGAGGTATGGGTGAGAAGGCATAATAAACCACCTAAAAGCAATGGTGACAAAACACAACTCAGATCCGCAGCATGGCCAGCACCTTTTGCACTGTAAGTTTATACAATCTGTTTACGCCACCTATTTAGCTCTACAAGTTCAGTGTCTTATTCAGCTTCTCGTGCAGCCATGTGAAGACAACAAAGCCTCGCTGTCGAAGAACCTTTTCATTCAACCCACACTGGGACATATTTGACCCCGGTGGGGGTGTCAAAATAGTAAACAAAATATGCCTTAATGTATTTAAGAAGTGCTTTTAAAAATTCAGTACATAATTAAAAGAAACAAAACGATGCAAACAGAATTCAATAAAGATGTGCAATGAAGAAGCCTCTAGCTAAAAATTACAAACTAGATAATTCTTTGCTAGTTACGTTAACATGAGACGCACAACTAATCGAAACAGTTCAGGGCTTAGACGAAAAGTGTGTTCGAAAACTAAAACATTGAACGTGACGAAAATTTTCTTTAGAAAAAAAGATTGTGGCAACTGTTGAAATGTTGTGTTTGATCCTCAGCAATCCTTTTTTCCTTGATCTTTGGTCAAGTTTCTGCCATACTTCAGCAAGCTCAGAAAAATACTGCCAAATATCACTCGATAATTGACAACATGAAGCAATTCAGTAAGCTCTACAAGCTACCAACTGATCTTGCAACGAGAACCATCGATTTCTTTATGTCTACGTGGGCAATGAACAAAGGCATTGACACAGATGAGGTATGTAGACATCTTATTTTCGTTGAAAGGATTGATCCCCAGGAAATTAAATTATTTCATGATTTTACACCAGTTAAATTGTCTAAATTGTCAGGGGCACCAAACAACTGTAAGAAGGAGCAAATATTACCTAGAAATTTCTATGGCAAAAGAAAGGCTAAAAATTCCCGGATAACCGTTTTATTTATCTATAAAGATATTCGGAGTTTATTATTAACTCTCCTATGATTTTTGGAAGTTGATTTTTGACATTTAATTTCCTGGATTTGGCGATTATTGTTAAAAAGGTCACATGAAAATTTCGGTAGAAAGAGAAATGTTCCCTAAATTTTCTAATTTTCTAATAAAAGTGAGAAGGGTTGCTCCGTGTCCTCGTAGTTTCCTCATGATCGAGACCCGTCGGGATAGCTAGAAATTTCGAGACGGCCAGAGTTGCCCTAAAACTTAAAACGTATTTACGGCAGCTCTAAATAAATTAATGAAACAAAGTTTTAAAGCATACAGATATCAGTCCATTTTAGACATTTCTGACTTGATTGGAATGATTCGTTTCTTCACCCTTGAACTGCACGTTTTCGTAAAATACTACAACAAATACTACATACTACTAGCAACCACGACAACGAAAACGACAACCTCCAAAAACAATTGGTTTTAAGACAGTTGCACGATGACGTCAGCGGGATTGACAAATTTGAGTAAGAAAGCAAAAACGAAATGAATTCTGGTAGTTGTAGTCAAATGTCATCATCGTGAAAATGGCGTATTTCTTCGTTAACGTTTAGATCCATAACGCATAATTAAAGAAGCGCTATTGGCAATAGAGTGATTTTCGTGTGACCTTGAAATGCAAACACGCGAACAAAATAGTGAAAATAGGACAATAAACGAACGGAAATAGAGCGATTTGATTGGTTTGTCGAACGGATACAAATGCGCGGGGCTTTTGGTTGGTTGAGCGAACGCTCGGCTAAAAAAAACTTCATGCCTGCAGAACTTTCTAGAAATCAATTGATAGTTCACTTTGACGTCATACCGCAACACGATTGGCCAATCGAACAATGCCTTCTCCATATTAGGGTTTTCTTTGGCGGGAAAAGGAAGAGCCCATGTTTTAATCTTTTCATCCATTGGCTGATAAAACAAGTAACGAACACTTATACCGAAACATTTTTCAAGGTCATACGAAAATCGGTCTATTAACAAAAACAACTAGCCAGCTGTGACACAGCCCTTATAAGAAACCAAAACAGAAAAAAAAAACCTGTTACTTAGTTTCTGCCTTTAACAACCGTACGCTTGTTTACTTACAGGTCTTAAGGTACTGCCCAAAAGATCTACAGGCCGACATATGCGTGCATCTCAACCGAGTAATTCTTGAGAGTAATCCCGCGTTCAAAGATGCGAATACCGGGGTAAAGCGCGCCATTGCGCGCAACTTCTGGATCTCGCACGTGGCGCCTGGGGATCGAATCATTCATCACGGAGAAAGTTTGGATGTGTTGTACTTCATTGCACGTGGATCACTTGAAGTCAAACAGGGAGAGGCAGTGGTTGGATTGCTTGGTGAGTAAGTGAGCGGTAGCCACAAAAAGTGTTTTTCATTTTCGTGAATGATGATGATGATGATGATAGGGACCTTAAGCAACTACGACGGCGACTACTAGGAAAACGTCCGACTCGAAAAGTGAATTCACGCTGCCTCAAACTTCATCGCGCTGATTCCATCTCGTTCAATTCGTCAACTGTTGGCAAATTTTTCTAGAGTGGAATTGAAAAGGCCTGCATCGAAATTCAGGGAAAGAAGAAGAAAGTCGTTGTGTTTTGTTCACGTCCTACATAAAACGTGAAATTAGATAATCTCACGTCGTGGTCGTGCAGTGACTGCAAAGAAATCTACAAAAAAGCGAGACGTACAAAGTTGTTGTTTTGGTGATCTAAGCCTATTACTTTTTGGCGTTCTCGTTGCCGTCGCCATCGTCGTTAATTAAGTTCCCTATTTCAAGGAGTTTTTTCTATTCAATGATTTTGAATGGCACCCCAAAGATGATGACGAAGACACTGATGCTACTGATTACGATAATAGCTTTTAATAATAATGCTGATGATGATGATGATGATTCTAGTGATGATGACGACGATGTCGCTGACGATGATGATGATAATGATAATAATTATGATGATATGATGATATGATGTGACGATAATCACCACTATTACCACATATAACTTATCTTTTTCTCATCAGGTGAGAATGACGTATTTGGAGACAACATATGCCATGAGCCTACTGTCGGCCAGTCAGCGGTGGACGTGATAGCACTGACCTACTGCGATCTTCACTGGATTCAAAGGGACGCGCTGATCGAAGTGCTAGAATTCTATCCTGAATTTGCCAACAGGTTTACCAAAAATCTCACCCTGTCATATAACTTGAGAGACGAGGTAAATGTTCTTCTATTTTGTTTATTATACGCCAGTAAAGGTCCTACACCATGAAATTTCAACAAGGCAAATTTATTAAAGATTACAGGTCAATCCTACGGGCACTGAAATTCTCAAGATTTTTTTCGGGGGAAATCTGTTCATGATCTTTTGTCTGCACTTGTCTTAAAAGAGAACATAAGGAGTACCAATTAACAATTTGAAAGAGATTGCTGGTTCGTGTTATGATTCAATGCCGTTTGCGGCCTTTTTTGGTTTGAACGAGGTCAATAATTTGTAGAAAGGGGCGGCGTTCTAAATAAGGTTTGATCGTAAAATATAGCATATATTGTTTGCACCCAAGGTATGGATTTAAACTTAATGAAAGCTTGAAAAGCAGTTGAAATTTAACTCCCTAAGAACGAACTCAATCTACTTGATTCTTGTTCATTTAGGGTGCTTTCGATTGTTCGTATTCCTCCAGAATAAGAATGCGCACTGTTGTAAATCTCTTGTACCGTGATTTTTGGGCCACTTAAACGCTACATCGGGATATTTTATTTTGAACAGAATTCTAGCTATTGCAAGCAGACAACGCCAAAACGAATGATTTTTAGAGTTCCTTCTTTCTATTCTTATTCCAAAATACGGTCAATAGAACACACCCTAATTTACCAGGCGACTAAAACGTAAACTGAGCACTATCGATACTGTTTGACGTGGTGGTATCCGCTTTCATTTCAGCTTAAGATTCGAAAACGCACCCCGAAATTGGAAATTGCTAACGAGGAGGACAGAGATCGACCACCAAGCATCGGTTTTAAACCGCGGAGAAATCGAAAACTGAGCTTGGTTGAAGAATTAGCACAAACCTACGAGTTTGACAACAATGAACTTGACGGAAACACGAGCGAGGCGGAAATCGACATGATGGTTATCCCCAAAGGAAGAGCAACAAGCTTCACTGGAAACCCAGTCCGAACTCGTGCTGAAATTCCGGAATCGGGTACCGACGTGCTGTCGAGTTTATCCGAAATGAAAGGCGAAGTTCGTCGAGAAATCGAAGTCATGAATATGAAAATGACGCAGCTAGAGGAACAAATTTCCACAATTCTTTCGATTTTGAAAACTCAGGGACACTTACATAGCCCACGGGGTTACGATTCTCGTAATGACAGCATGGATAAAGGTCGGATGTCTTCTACATCCTATCTTAACGATTCAACCCCTCCTGAGGAGGCCATGAAACGCCAAAAAAGTGAAGAGAGGCCTCTACCGGAGTGGCTCGCGCCAGAAAGTTCTACGGACCCACAAGAAAGCACCTCGACCCAGGCGGCTACCCTGTTAAACAACACTGCAAACCAAAGTACTAAAGATTCCGATCCTAGACTCCTTCAGACACTCAATCTCTTCAAGATGGGAAAGAATAAATAAGACACATACTTCACAGAGAAATACAAGTAGCATACGTAAACATGATAGTTTGGAGTCAAGTATCTCCATCTCTCAGAAATAAAATCGAATTGCCCCTTAGCTGAGTGTTTGAGCGTTTGGATAAACCTCTCAGAAGCCACAGGAGGCGTGGTAATACGCTTGGACATTGAAATGCAGTAAACTAGTGGATTATTATACGTTTCTGGGAACTGCCTACCTACCCCTCCCCGAAGCCAGCATTAAAACTTACTTCTCACTTAAGGCAAAATGTTGGCTTAGGGGAGGGGTAGGTGGGTAGTTTCCCAGCGTTTGGCCATAGTCTGTATGAGTAGTAACGGGCGAGACAGACTCTCACGCAGCCCGCCTTTGTCAGTGGAATGCTGGGAAGCATGACATGACGACACAAAAGACAAGAGCCATCTGCTCATGCGCATGAGACTAGAAAGATCAAGACGAGGAGTGAAACGAATGGTACTTAAAGTGCATTACTGAGAGCATTTATGCGACAAATACACATTTTGTGCTAACTTAGCTTCCCAGCTATGATGTTCTGACTCAAAATTGACACGAATTCACTTTCGCTGGAACTACCCATACTGAGTTACACGTTCGTGTTGAACGTGTGGATATGTTCAGTCCCTCGAAAGGTTATATAGTCCGGCATCGCGCGGTGCTGCACAATAGGGTCCGCCGGGTCGAATGTTGCTGTTTTGCTATCAAAACAGATATTTCGTGATGATCTAAATTAATGTGAGGATCTAATCCTCATTTTTTTTCCCCTTTTTCACCAGACTCACGAATCACAAAAACAGGAGGATGTCGCATAATACCAGACTAATTTTTTTGAAATCACAAATAATACTGAGCTCTTTGCACCTACATCACAAGCTCATTTCCTCAAGGGGTTTAAGGCCTAGGTAATTGGCATTAGTAAAATCCAACTAGTGGTCTATTATCAACGCTGCGTTCTGATTAGTTGAGCTACTACTAGGCTATCTGTTATAGCCTACTAGTAGCGAAAAGCACGGGCTTTTTGGCGGCAAAAAAGGATTGAAGTCTAGCTTTAACTAGCTAAAATTTTTTTATTCTCGAGATTCTTGACCAACTAGTTGGATTGTACTAAAACAATTATTCCTCTGGCCCCCTTGGGCTATTGACTCAGAGCCAATTTGAGCTCGAGGAATATTTGTTGAATATCCCTCGCTAGGAGACCTAGAACAAAATGAAATTTTCTCCAAAAGTGAATCCTGAGGTCTTCTTGCACCTGAACGTTTAATTATGGTCACATGACATGTCACGTGACCAAAAATGGAAAATAAAGGAAATTGCCGACTTGGTGGCGAATTCACTTTGTTTGGATAAGTAAATTGGCATTCCTGACAGAGGACAAACATACCTAACTTTCTTAGTTTGGGGAAAATTTACCCGAAGTTTAAAATTAAAGTTTTAAATAATTTCGGATTGAATTTGGGCATTTAAAATGATGTTTACCATTACAATTTTTTATTGAAGTGCAATGGACGGTCATTCCAAACGTGAAGTGTTAGAAATATTTAATATGAATATGTAAAATGTTATTGCTCGATTTTTTTATCTTAAACCCACTACCAATTTGTCAATTTATAGTTACGATTTTTAGCAAAATGGTCACGTGAGATATCACGTGACTTATTAACACAATATTAACACTTTAAAATGTTAAGGACGATGAATTCTTTATGTGTTTTGATTCAGTTTCATAATCTGCACCGAAGTCATAGCCAAAAAAACATTTTCCACAGGGAAACCTTTAAGTCCCAGGCCTTAACCTACTTGAGTTTGAACAAAAGCGGCGATTGCATGTAACCGCTGAGAGAAATAACGGTTGCTAAGTAACCATTACATGAGATATTTAGAATAATCACCAATGACTAGTATTTCACAAAACAGAAAACGCTAATCCTTGTTAACAGATGTTAAATGGATGTAGAAATTGGTTGTGCAGCTGAATTGGTCGTGCTTCAGTTTCCCTTTTTTGCACTAAGGACGCGAAACAGTTGTCACATATCGTTTTCACTCACGTGAGACTGGCAATTCCATCAAATTTCTTCTAACAAAAGGAAGTTTTTACATGAGAAACAAGTTTAATCCCCACAGGATTTTAGTACATCAACAAGGCTACAGTTTCATTGTACACCATTATGGCCGCCTTGACGTCATGTGGAACAGATCTGTTTCACATAACCCATAATAAGCATTGTGAGGAGCCTATAACCCGCCGCGTGCTACTGCCATAAATTACAAGGGGTTATGGCATCCTGGCCTTGTTTAAACTCCCAATTCGAACAAGAACTGTTTTCAATTTCTCCTGGATATTAAAGTCGTCCGAATTTAAAGGAAAAGTAATTTTTATGCAAACTTTTGAGGCTAAACAAACTATGGGTAATCCCGTTCTATTGCCGACAAATTAAACCAATTTTTGTTGTGCTTGCGGAAAGTACTACAACATTCGAAAATTATTAGAGTCATTGCCTGGGGTCCTGCTGGCCAGCAGAAAACCTTCTCGTGAAGTTTCATAAACAATTATAAGCATGCTCACTAGGGTGAAATTCGGCAAAGGTCTTTTGTTTTGAGTTTTATTCCCACAGGCTCTTACTAGCCTGCGAACGGGCTGCCAAGAGGAGCGGGGAGAAATCGGCGACCGAAGCGAGCCGAGCGTGGCCTGAAGCAGAAAAAGGGCGGCCCCTCAGACCCCGCTCACCGATTTTCTTTTTCGCCCCACTCCACTTAGGAGGCGGTCCGCAGGCTAGCCTTCTACTGATTGTTAGTGTTGGTTTTGAGCGAAAATCGACGGAGAAACACTGAAGGTTTTGTTAACAGTCGAACCATGCAGGACTAGCGTTTATCGGACTTCTGATAACTCACCTAAAGTAACAGGTTGATAAATTTGTAGAAAAGAAATACAAAAATAAAACTTTTTCCCGTAATTGCCGACATAGATAACGGTTTTATCAACTCATTTGGTCAAACTGAAGTTTTTGCTGTCACAAAAGTTTACCAAATGTGTCTGTGCATGAGAATAAATGAACAGCTACTGAAGGGTGGGAGATCAAGGAAAAACCTTGCGCGACATCCATCACTGACTTCTCGCTCTTTTTTTCACTCGAGTGCTAGCATAGGTGCACATAAACACATCTTCTACTACTAGAAAAGGTTAAACTGCTGAAACGCAGGAGGAGAGACTTTTTTTTAACAAGACAGCATTCCTATTTTGGTTTCAAGCACTGTGAAAACTCGGAAGTTCAAATTGCTGTATTTTCGAAATGAAATATGCTACAGGACTGGAAACTTATACAAAGATTTATTTTTTGTTTATCTTCGACCTAGTAAAACCTCGTTATTTTGACTTTACAATTTGATGACGTCACCGTGAAAACCATCTATTCATAGTCAATCACCGGTGAAAATTTTGTAGCGATCGGACAAGGAAAAAATCACTTTTAAGGTGATTGAAAAACATCGGTATGGTCTTCCAAAAGCTATATCGAAACACCTTAAAATCCAGGATACGTCAGCTAAATCTTCACCGAGTATCACTTGAGGTTGAGAATATCATTTAAGTACTTATACAATCACCCCCTCTATATAATATTTGTACTTTCATGTGTAATTAGTTATATTTAGTATCTTAAGTTCTTAACTTAATTATTGTAGCATGTAATTTGCACGTACACCTTTAACTACATAGTGGATCCAAAAGCTATAAACGTGAGAAGAGAAACATCGTGTCGAAGCCCTACAGACAACCGGCTGTATCCATCAGGTAAAAGGTGGTGAAATAAGCTACTACATGACTGTAATACTACGTTCTGTTAAGAAATTTGTTCGATATTATTGTGCAGAATCCAGTAGCAATCAAAATCCTGAAAACAATTTAGTTTTGTAAACGTCAACCAGAGCCTGTGTGGGAAACTTTGCAGAAATCACCAAGAGCAAGAAATCATCGACCCCAGTCTACTATGATGTTGGCCAATCAGGGCAACTTTCCTGCGATTGTGAAACTAAATGTTGGCGGTCAGCATTTCACCACAAGCCTGCAAACGCTAGCAAGAGATCCCACCTCGATGCTGGCAGCCATGTTTTCAGGCAGGCATGAGGTACAGACTACAGAAGATGGTTCGTTCTTTATCGACCGAGATGGTACTTACTTCCGCTTTATATTGAACTATCTTCGTGACGGAGAACTAATCTTGCCAGAGGGTGCTACATTCCTCGCGGAGCTTGAAGCAGAAGCTAGGTTTTACCAAGTGCAAGGAATATTGAATGAGTTAAGGACTATAAAAGCATCAAACGTTTTTGAGGAGTCGGTAATTTTGAGGAACGAAGAGCATCGGAGAGTTTTGAAAGACTGTTTACCTTTGGCAGGCGAATGGCGTTTGCTGTTCAGAGCTTCACGAGATGGCTTTGCAGCTTCCATTTTTCATTCCAAATGTGACCATAAAGGACCTACAATCACTGTTGTGAAGAGCGGAGGGAGCATTTTTGGAGGCTTCACCGAGAACCCCTGGAAAAGTAAGATTGTGAATTGATGTTTATATTGCTAACGAGGCTAACACCTTGATACAATATAATGAAGTATCAACTTATCAGTAAATGTAATGAACTGTTTTGCCTATAACTATATGAGAGTATACTGATAAATATTTTTTATATCATTGCCGGAGTTTCTCTCTTCTCCTTTCTTCTCTTAATAGTCACGCCATACGACGTCATAGGTACCTTCGGATCACCATAATAATTTTGCAAGTCTGAGATTTGTCGAAATATTAATAAAACGTGATGAAAAAGCCGGCCTGAGTACAGTTGTGAGTATTGGCCATGCAGTCGAAATATCGTAATTCACATCTTTTAGATCTTTTCACGTCGGTGTTTAATCCGAGTCCGTGCAGAGTTATTTTCATCACTGTATTTTTACAAATTTTATCTGATCAAGACCTATTTTGACCGCTCACTGTTCTTGCTGAGGTTCTAGACCTTTTAAAAAAGGTGATTTGATAAATGCAAATTTTACAATGACATCACTTTACAGAGACACTTAAAAATTCGTAGACATTAAAAACACTGTATATATTTATGACAAAATTCAGTTTCATATATATAACCGTGCATACCGCCTAGGAAAAAGAGTATGTAAATTTACGGGACCTATGTAGGTCCCGTATCCTTACTCTTTTTACTAAAGTCAACAAAATCTTTTACTGGGAAGTGAAATAAAAGATTTTTTTCTTCACGTAATGCTGTTTTTAAAGCGCTTTGTTAACCTCTTGTGTACAATTTAAAACCGTCATTGAGAAAAAAGAAGAAAAACAAACATTTCCAGTGGATATTGAGGTAAAATAACGATTGCATGCAAACTTTATTTCGACGAAAGTCGACGGACTTATGATGAGTTACACTCAATGTTTTACTCGCAGTGAAGGATCATAAGTAGCGTTCAAACGCTTAACATCAATCTTATTTACTGAATGTTCTGAAAATAGTTAAAGAATATCATCAGCTTAAATGAGGGGCACATTAAGGGGTACCCAATATCGCAATACCGCACGAAAAATTGGCAAATACCGAAATACCGTGTCGAAAATCGACCAAATACCAATAACGCATTTATGATCGGTGACGCTTACTTTACGTTGTATCCATCTCGCGTGTTTTTTTTTTAATATCTCAAGCACGTATACACCAGAAATCAACCTCAACCTTCGCAAAAAAACGTGAGAATTGATCAGTACAACGATCGAAAACTAAGCCAGGTCATTAAATGTCCTACAAATTTCATCATAGGCAGAGTAACTGTCAGAAATTGTGTACTCATTTACCGTTAAGTCTAAAGTCTTCCAAATATTGAAATACAGTAGACACAGAGGCCAAATGAACAGTAGCGCAATATCGTGAAGGATCTTCTTTTACCGAATACCGTCAGCCAGAAGGGTGAAAAACCGCATACCGCAGGGCTCATGATACTGCAATACCGCACATTAAACTCAAAATTTTCGAAATACCGTTTGAAAAAAAGCTCAATACCGCAATACCGTAAACCCCCATGTCCCCCTCTTAAATGGATTGAAAAAATTTGAAAAAAAAAAACAACAATCGCACAAATTCCTCGCGTTATGGTTGATCCTCTTCAGTTTCATTGCTATCGTCTTGTTGGTACATTTCATAGTAAGAATGGAGTAAAAGTTTTTCCTCCATGACGTAAAAAAGAGAATGGTGACTTTATTCGGTTCCTTTTTTCTATCTCCTACACTGACATTTAAATTGAAAATACAAACATGGTGGGAGGTTCGTAATCACTTAGTAGCAGCCGGGTTCCCACCAAGAACCAAGGAGCAACTTAGAAATGGGAGGACTTGTCGTTGGCCGCGGCCAGTAAGACCAAACACGCCAAACGAAAGTAGACTGGGGAGGGTGCTATAGAGTGGACTGACGTAGACGAACTTATCACCGACATACTCGGAAAAGGAAATCCCTCCCTTCGATGGCTCATTTCATATTTCCTTTGAAACTAATTGATCTTCGGTAGCATCCCCTTCCTTTGCTCTCAAAATCACTTGGATGGTCACGATGACGTCAAGAACACGTTTTCGCTATGTTGTGTTGTTAGTAGTTATATCTGCTATCGATCAGCCGTTAAGATTATAAAAACAAAATATAAGCGTGCAAAGAAATGTAACAAAAAGTGTGAATGTTGTTTTGCTGATTAAACTTAGTGATTTATTGACATTCCCGTTGCCGTCTCTGTCTTGGTATTGATGTCACGTGTCTTGTTATTTACAGGTCAAGGTGGTTACATACCATGCAAAAAGGCTTTTCTGTTCACACCTAGTCAACCCGTTTCGTCTGGGACCGGCCAAAATGCCAGTTATTCTTCAGATGAAACAGTGTGCAATGAGATGTAACAGTAGCCATGGACCAGTATTTGGTGGGGGTACGGTGGGGGATGTGCATGACCTGTTCATATCAGATAATGCCAACACAAATACCATTAGTAGCAGCCATCTCGGCAAAACCTATCAATGGCCTCAAGAAGGACAGCAGTTCTTGTTTACAGGTGGTCCAAAATTCACTGTCACAGACTACGAAGTGTTTGGACTTTACCAGTAGTGACAACAACAGATGAGTGGGGATGGGGAGGGTGGGGAAAGTGACGAAAACTAGAATTCGCTCAGGCAGGCTTATTTTATGGCCTAAATTGGCGGGAAAATCGATCTAAAAATAAACTGGTCTGTGAACACGCCGTTGCATGGCTGGGCACAAGGGAGTTATTGTTGTCCGAAAAACTAAGACTCGTAAAACTTTTTTGGTTTTTACATCAATCTCCAAAATGCACCAAGAGCATGTACCTATTTCCTTCTCGCGGGATCAGAACTTGATTTTTTTGTCTGCTTATCTGAAATGCTGCATCAAAAAAGTGTGAAGGCTGCATTGCAGGTGTATTTATCGAAATGTGTGCCCGGACTGTAAACATGGAGAAAGTGTGACTATAGTGGGGTTGGAATCAAGCAGATCCAACATGGCAGCTATTCAACAAAAACACGAGGGAATTCCAGCAATGCGGTACTATTAAAGAGGTACTAACCATGTGCAGGGAAATCCGAGCAAATCGCTGAAATTGCCTCAAAACGGGCAGATCAGCTTGTTTACAAATTTTTTTCGCACCTGAGAGGTGAAATTTTCCGTGTATCTAGGAACGTCAATTAAACCGAGATTTCGTGACGCAGGTCTGTCTTCCATTATAATTTCCCGGTCGATTGGTGAAGTCCGAGTGTTAAAAAAAATGTTGCGTTATATTTCGAAATTGTTATACGTAATTTCACGAGCCGTTAGGCTCATCATTCTATTATTTGTTTATATTACTACCCGCAAAAGGTTTGTAATTTTCACATGTAGGTATTTCAAATTAAGCTGAAATACCACCCTTCTACGCCAATCAAATTGCTGAAATTTCTCATGTAGCAGTAGAATTATTATTATTATTATTATTATTATTATTATCATTATTATTATTATTATTATTATTATTATTATTATTATTATTATTATTTTGAAAACAGGTGTTCCTAAAAAACAGATCGCTGTTTTGCTTTTCTCCTGATCCATCTTGCACGAAAAGGCGGGAAGTAGCACTCACTGCTCTTATTTCTCTGGGTCTTAGTTTTCCACCTCTTGGTTTTCCGGGGCTAAGTTTTCCGGGTCCTATAGGTAAAAATTGTAATCCCGTTTGATCTTCTTCATTTCATTTATCCGTGCTCGTCTTTTCTATTTCCCTGTAATTTAACTATTCCTTCGCTATTTTAAGGGTCACTTTTCATATTTTGCTGAGTAGATGGCCAGTTCTTCAGGGTCTTAGTTTCCGGGTCTTAGGTCTTAGGTCTTAGTTTTCCGGACACCTTAGGATAGGATCGCAAAACAAGCCCAGATTCCCTCAAGAAGACACATTGACAAGGACACAAAATATAGCAATAGTGGGTTTATCTAATTTCAGTCTCCTCTCCACAGTAAGCTTAAATAAGGCGAAGATTTTCGATTTTTTCTTTTTTATGTAAACCTTATAATCGTTGCGTTGTGTATGTAACACTACTGAGCCCCTAGAGGTAAAGGAATTGGTAAAGAGTCCTTATTTCACGTCAGTAGCTGGAAATAGTCGCGAGTTGTCCAATACACCCGCACTGTAATGGTCCTTATAATCCATGTTACAATCCGTACGGATCGTATGAATTGAAAAATGGCATACCATCGGGATCGTTGCTCCTTCTTACGGATATTGAAAGGTACTTAAAGCTGCACGGGTTGGAAAGAAGTCGAATAACGGATTTGAGGTCAAATCTATGTGAATCGAACTGGGGACCTCACGCACAGAAGTTAAGTTAACAAGAAGCGCGCGCGAGTTAACCAACCGTTGCCAATTCCTGCTCCTCGGTCCTCCTCTTTTTATTCATAAGACGTAAGAATATTTTAACCTACCTGACTTAAGTCCTGATTTGTTGGATACCACCGGTGGTATCTAACAAAGTACCATAGTCAACAACTTCAAAAGATTAAACTTCCTGATTAACACCTGGCTATCAAAGCACTTTCAGTATTGTTTATATCTGTACAGTCGAACCTCTCCATAACCGTCCCTAGGGCTTTCCACAAGTTGCTCGAGATTTTCCAAAAAGTTTCCGTAACTCCTCAAAAAGTTGCTTAAAAGTTGCTCAAAAAACAATCAAAAGTTGCTTTTTGTATTAACAAAAGTTGCTCGAAAAAACAAAAACTGTTTTGGTCTGATGTAAAATATGCAAATTGTACAACAAAAGTAAGATTTCTAAGCATTTTTGTGCAATTTTGCGGCGTAACCAGCGTTTCTAAACAAATTTGTCCTCAATTAAAACAGAAAAATGTAATGAGCCAATAAAATTTTAGAACGACCTTCTTCACCCGAGACACCCAAGTCAGTCGAGTGTGAATCTTGAGTTTTCTCAAACCATTTTGAATTTTCAGCTCGGCTGACTTTATCAGCTCATGATCTTAAGGGAGGATTTGGCTCCTTTTTTACAGGAAATTCATAAATATTCCACTAAAACATTGTGAAATATGGAAGAAAGGCCAATTAAAGCACTAAAAGCTGCTCTGATCTACCATTTTTAAGACACTGAGAGAATTTTTGACCGTTTTAAACTGTTATTGAGAGTACTTTTGCCACTGAAAAAGAAATAGCTCGCAACCCACTGTCGTCAAACCCGGACCTTTCGTATCCTAATCTTTCTCCTTTACCACTACACTTCCACCGACCCGCCAAAATTGCGAAATATTTAAGAACATCAAATAGCAAACTGTCTTTTTCTGCAACTGTTACAGTTGTGTACAATCATCAATAACTGGTGACCCTAGCCCTTTCGCTTCCACTTTGTCTTCAACATCGTTCTTTCAAAGACTATTTAAAAAACGTATTAGAATAGGTAATAGCATGATTTGTAGTGATATTTGGCCTAAATACGACGAGTGATGTTTCGAAATTTTTATACGTAATTTCACGAGCCGTTAGGCGAGTGAAATTTGACACAATTTTGAAATATAACGAGTGGTATTTATGCCAAATATCACGGACAAATCATGCTATTAGTTGTTTATACTACTGCCCACAAAGGTTTTGTAATTTTCACAAGTAGGTTTTTCAAATTAAGCTGAAATGCCACTGCTCTAAGTCAATCAAATTGCAGAAATTTCTCAGGTAGTAGTATAACGGTAAAACCCCGGTCTGACTTGAACTCTGAAGGGAAACGAAAAACAGTTCGAGTTAGCGGGGAATTCAAGTTATCGGGGTAAATTTCAGAGAAATTTTTGACCAAGGGAAAGGAAATTTAGTTCGAGTTAGCGGGGAATTCGAGTTATCCGAGTTCGAGTTATCGGGGTTAAACTGAATTTGCCTTATTGTAACTTTCAGAAAATATATTTGATCTGTCATATCTAAAGGCCTGTTTACCAATGATGGCATCGACCGTTAAAAATGGTAACGACCGTTTACGAAAGAAAAATAGGCCTCGCCGACTGAGTTCCAATAAAAAGATCACGAAAGTCAAATTCCATAATAAAAAAAAAAATTAAGACCATGAAGGCCGTCCAAGGTCTTGGTCACGGAAATTGACGTGAGAGATGGTTAGGCTTTTGTACATTATGCTTTTGCTTCCCTACTAAAATGCTCCACCTTAATGCTCCATTTTTCCCACTAAAGTCACTAAAAGTCACTAAAATGCTCGGATAATGCTCATTATACAAACGGTTTTTTTTAATTAATTTCAAAGTTTACACTTACAAAAACGTGCAAGTGTTGCAAGTAACAATGACAACGTGTACAAGTTCATAAATACAGCCAAAAAAACAGCTGTATTAGCTTTTTTGTGAATTTTGAGTTTTAGTCTTTATTTTGCTTAAAAAAGCAGGAGCACATGGGGCATGGGCTCCTGAAAAAAGTTAATTTCTATTTTATTTTCTCGGAAAAATTAATTTTCCGGAGAAAATGCCACTAAAATGCTCGAATAATGCTCAATGCTTTTGCCTCACTAAAATGCTCGAAAAAATGCTAGCATAATGTACAAAAGCCTAGAGATGGTCCCTGCAATTTGTAAATACTTTCATTTCCTAGAATAAAGATGCAAATTTTAGGGCAATACTAATAAAAATATAATATAAAATATTGGCGACACTCAGTCGATAAGTCAGCTCCAGTCTCTAATTGCACGCAAAAAAACAGGTCGATGAAGTCACACGAGCACTGATCGTCTGACTAAATATGAAAGATGACGAAATTCAAGAAGGTTAAGAATTAAAAATTCTTTTATTAGGATTATCTCAGTTAGCAACAGGCCGTTCGTCTTTGGTCACGGAAAGTAACGTGATGGATGTCAGTAAGTATCGACAGGAGCCTATCAATCCATTTGATGGGCTCCTGGTATCGAGTATAAAAATGCAAATTTTATTGTAATTCTTTCATTTAAGTATGAGCAGCATGAATTGACCTGTGTTCATACCTTCTTTTTCACCAATTGCCCCTTTAATTCTAAGGCAATAGTAATACAAATAAACGTAACATTGGTTAAAGGCAGTCTGAATCGACTCTTGAGTCAGCTCTGATGTTCACGTTCGGTAAAAGCTAAAGTCACTCGAGCAAATCTTGCAAACTGATTAAATCATTTCTGGTGGCATAAATTAAACAAGCTTCCTTTAGTTGATGCAAGAAAGTTCACTACCTCTTCTTTTTTTACCGTTATTATTATCATTATTATTTTCTTTTCTTTTTCTTTTTTTTGCAGACATGGCTTTAATGACCAGGGCATCAGAGCGAAAACAGAAATGACTTGAATAATTATAATTAATATTTATATCTTAAAATATAACATTAGAGAGATGCTTTTCAGTC